ATCCCTACATCAGAAAGCTCCCAATCTTATAACTCCAATACCATCTTGTGGGCTTCATGGACATCTATACTCATATGTGCACACACATACACATATGCATAATTAAAAATAAAATTCACCTTAAAAAAGAAAACAACCCCAAATCTACTTCTATAAATATTCTATCTTCCCTAGTTTGTGTCTTTCATTGGTTAAGTACTGAGATCATTTCAGAATTAGGTGTTTATGAAGTGCAAGCTTAAAATGATGGTCCATACCTATAATCCCAGCATTCCACTGGGCATGCTAAGACAGGAGAATTATAGCAAGTCTGAAGCCAGAATGGCCTAAGAGTGGTGACCCCCATGTCACAAAGGTCCAAAAATATCTTAAGATTTAAGAGTACCCAAAGAGACCAACTATTCTCCCTTCAAGGTATGAAGTTTGTTAGTAAAGTTCAAGACATTCAATCTATTTTTGAGACAGTGAACACAACCCAGGCAATCATCCTGCCTCATCTTCTTAAATGCTAGGATTACAGGTAAGAGTCATCGTCTCTGGGTAAGACACAAAACTATTTCTCTTCATTTTTCATCAACATGTAAGAATGTTAAAAAGATCTACTGCTCTTCAACAATATTTTGAGAGACATGGCTTGTGAACTAGGCCAAAAGTATGGCTTTTTTTAATACCCCAAATTCACATTCTAAAGTTATGCTATTCTGAATTTATTCATTTTGATCCAGTGCCCTCCTCTCTAAATTCTCTTAAAAGAATGTCTATGTTCTATCATCTGCAAACCTTTGCCAGTCCTCTAATTTGCCCTGATATGGATTCTTTGCTATTGTTTTAATATGATTTCGTATGAAAGAAATTTGAAGCTGTGACTTTAAGGAATCCAGACTATGATCTCTTACTGTTTTACTCTCTTAACTATCCTCACTTTTTTCACAGCCAGCTTCTCTTCCTTGCCTCCCCTTTTAAATTCATTCACATTCTACTAATGGAACATATTTTACCTGTGGCATAATAATATATTCCTGTATCAAGAGGCATGTAGAGGGGAGGGTTGACTATAAAGCAATTCAAGGGAAACCTGAAGTGTAAACTCTCTGTTCCCACTTGGTAACTATTATACAATACATATGTCAAACATATATACATATAAATATATAAATAATTAAAAATAAATATAATTATAAATATATGTCAAAACTGTATACTCCAAAGATAAATATCAATTAAACCCTAATAAGTCTAACAAATGCCAAAAAGACATGCCAAAAAGACACTTTTCAAGAGAAGCTATAAAATCAAATATTTAAAAAGCAAATGTTTTACATATTTAGCTACAAAAAAACACAAATTAACCTGGGAACTTACTAAAATAACAGTTTAATAAAACTAAATGAATAGAACCAATACTGTTCCTTTTCCTGCCTGGTATGAAACAGGACATGGAATGGACGAGTATTGTCTAAATATGTAGTGATGTATGATACTGTTTGTGTTATGACAAATAAAGCTTGCCCTGAGATCAGAGGATGGAGCTAGCCACTAGTTAACAATAGAAGCCTGGCGGTGATGGCTCCACCTTTAATCACAGCAGTAGGGAGGTGGAGAGAGAAAGTGACTGTGGGGCTGGACTGAAGGAGACAGGTAGGAAGCACTACTGGCTGCTTCTCTGATCATCTAGGTTTTTACCCTGATATCTGACTCCTGGCTTTTTATTGATTAAGATTAATTAGATAAATGCTTCAATGTAGCATGATCAAAACAACCCCTGAAAAGGGGACTCTTCTCAGTGTTCAGAATTACCTTCAAGAAACAGCTCAGATTCAAGGCTGGGTATCCTCTCCGGCTTTTCACTCACTGAAGGGAGCAGAGTGTTTTGCTCAGAACTGTTCTCTTGCCTATTGGAGTTGGCAGTCTGGAAACTATTCCACAAGGAGGATGTCTTGTAAGTCTTAATTCCCCAGAGGCGAAAGCAATTGTCAGAGGACAACAGAGCCTGAGACGAAAAGCCATTTGACAATGTTTTTCCTGGTCTTGTAGAGCGTTTTGTGATCTGCGCAGCTTTAATGAAATTACTCAATTTAATTGAGTTGAACCATCTGGGTATCTGCTCAGCTAACAGGGCCATTTTTTTTCTCTGTCTACAAAGGAAAAACACAACCATCAAAAGAAGATAGATTAACTCACTCAAATGTTTAAACCAGTAGTGAAACAGCAAATAAATAATAATAAATTTCTTCCTAAAATAAAAGATTTAAACAAATATGTCCAGGGTAGTCAAATGTTTCTTATATATGAAAAGCCACAAACAAAGGCAGTCTTAGCTACCAACCAAAACAGGAACTTCAGAACTGGAAAAATAAAGATAGGCCTTACAATTTAAAAACAAGACAAAGAATGACTTTAAACCAAAAAAGTCTGTAATTGCTCAAATTACAAAAGATCTAAACCAACTATTAATTTTATCTTCAAAAGGAAAGAATAACAGTAATGCAATAAAATGTTCTTAGAACTTGGTTTGAAATGTGTTTAGGAAATATATTTTGATTATAATGCTGAGTTACTAAAATGTATTTTATGCCTATAAATTAGTCAAAAGTTAAAAAAAAGAAACCCACTGTTTTAAATGATTCATAAATGTTATAATTGTCTGTTCATTGTATCTCATTCCAGACTACAAAGCAATGTCTCATGTTTTAAATTGGTATGTACTTTTAAGTCTCTTACATAAAATACTATGTATTTAATCCAACGCTGCTTTACCTGTTGAGAGCCAGTACAGTCAAGCTCAGACTCAGCTATCCAGTCAGATTCTATACTGTAGTTATAACTCACCTATACCAGGCAAACAGCCTTCATCTACTCGGGGGCTCCCTTCCTGGGACCCGGCTGCCTTAGTGGCCTGCCGTGGTCTTGAAACCTGCTTCCTGCCGCCACTCAGGGACCTGCAGCGTTTTTATTTAAACCTTAACACAGACAGACAAAAAAATGTTAATTATCAATTAACTCTTGCTTATGCCTTTGTATTTTGTTTTTCTACACAGTGGAATTCAGCTTGTTTTAGGCCCTGAATCAAGGGTCTAGTCTCACAAACACTTGCGGGTCTAACACTTGAAGGTCTGTAGTTTGGGGATGTTGACTAAGAGCAAATCTCTTTCTTTCTTAAGTGACCTGAGGAAGGGTGTGCTTGAAATAACCTTGTGGGATAGGTAACTTTTGTTAAATTTTAGGAACTTCCAAACCTGTCAAAATTTCCCTCAAACTTCTTATGTTCTCCATAATAGTGACATCAAAGTGGTAACCCAGTTATGTCACCTAAACAAGACCAAACTTTTAGTGAAGCTTCCACATAGCGAGACTGGTCCTATCCACAAATGGTCAAGGACAGGTATGAACAATGTGGCTCAACACAAAATCATAATCTTTCTTAAAACATTTTCCCCATGGTGGTTGTAACTTTTTTGTTTGTTTTTTGTTTTTCAAGACAAGGTTTCTCTTTGCTCTGTGGACCAGGCTAACTTTGAACTCACTGAGATCTGCCAGCCTCTGCCTCCCAAGTGTTGGGATTAAAGGCGTGCACCACCACCGCCTGGTGACAACTAGGTTCTTGACGTGAACTCGCGGAGATGTCAAGGCTGGACATGCTATTCTAGCTCATGGTGATGGAGGCTCAAAAACGCCACATAATGCTTTTATGTGTGCTGTGCTGGTGAAAATTTATCCTGGGCTACATTCTCAGCTCCAACATATGTTTTTATAAAGGTGGGGAACACAACAGAACGATTTGTATAAGCACTTTGTGATACTTCCAAACCAATTCCCAGAGTCTGTCCGGAAACCTTCCTACATCTAGTGGGCTCACTGTTAAATTCTTTTTCCACTCAAAGATCTGAGTGCTAAACATTCATTTTTACCCTCTACTTTTACTTGCAACTACACTCCCCTCACAAAACCGCTTCAAAGTCTAAGCCATCAGAACAACCCCACTATGCAGAAGGAAAAAGCTCGGCCCCCTCCCTGAACCCACCTTCCCAGGAACTCTCCTGCACCAAGTTAGGACCTCGAACCTCAGGGGGTTCGGGTTTGTTTTGTGGGAGCGATTACAGGACAAGTGCAGACACACACAGCTCTCAGAAACGAGTAAAGATTTGCACTCGTGTACAATGCCCTGCGGTGTGCCCATTAGGAAGATTTAAGAAGAAACAAGAATTCTTAACATCTCTCAAGCTGTACCCTGCACTATTTTGTTAGGAACATGAAAAAGAGCGTGAACAGATTTTTCTAGGTTCAATATCTCTGCTTTTTAACTAACCCTGGCACTCCGGAGATGAAAGGCACACTTCGTAATAAAGGGCCTCTAGGCAGCGCAGCCTCCCTCCCTAAGGTCATTTAACCAACATTTAACCGTGCGTAGTGTAGGATGCCTTAGAGTCCCTAACAGAACTTCGGCAGGCAGCAGCGACACTCTCGGGCCCCCTTCTAGTGCTGATAAACAAGCCCGGCAGCTTTGCCACCTACAGAACGAGCCCGGACCCCCTCTCCGGGTCACTGAGAACCTACCAGCCCTCGAGAGGCTTCCAGTTGCTGCTCTTGCTGAGTGCAGGCAGATCGGGCTCCAATACCGCCAGACCTCCTGCTCTCCCAATTCACCTGGGCCAGGTCCGCGGAGGCGCAGATCGAGCCCGGCTGCACTGCCGGGTCGCCCAGCAAACCAGCCAGCGATTCGCGGTGCGGGCGCCGCGCCGCCACTTACGTGAGTTGCGCTCCTCGTGGGCGAGACCATCGGCGGCGGATTGGGAGGGGGAGTCGGTGGACAGAGCCTGCCGGAGTCTTGAAGGCCCTGCTACCGATCAACACGTTCCCCAATTCACTGACTCCACGGCTCTGCGGGGGAGGGTTAGGGTTAGGGTGAGCTCTCCGTGATGTCTCCCTGCCAGGGCCCGCCTCCTCGCGGTCCCCCCCAGCCCGTACAGCAGTGGTGGCGCCGCGACCACGCCCTCGCGCGTCGGCCCTTCCCTCAGCGAGCTCCCTTCGCAGGGCGCCAGACCGGGTCCCGGCGTCAGGCAGCTACCCGGCTGTGGTCTGTCACTGCGGAGGTCCCAGCCTTCGCGGGCCGGGGCCTCCGCCGCCCCGGCAGGACGGGGAGAAGGACCATGGCGTCCTGCGTGGGGAGCCGTACTCTGAGCAAGGATGATGTGAACTACAGGATGCATTTCCGCATGATCAACGAGCAGCAAGTGGAGGACATCACCATAGACTTCTTCTATCGGCCGCACACTATCACCCTGCTCAGCTTCACCATCATCAGCCTCATGTACTTCGCCTTCACCAGGTGAGGTAGGCCTGACCGCGCGCGGGGCGCCCGAGGCCAGAGGGTAGAGGCCAGAGGCCACAGGGAAGCTGTGGCGGGGAGGGTGGCCCTGTGTGACTGGTGGCAAGGAACCGAGTAGCTGCTCCACGCGTTCAAGCTCGCAGACATTGGGCCCACGCAGCTCCTCCGCCCACCGCGTGGCTTACAGTCCTCTCCGCCTACTCTTCCACCTGCTACCCCTCACCTCTAAACCCCGCCTCGCGCCGTACCAGGAGCTCATGCAGGTCACCTAGCCGGGTCACCCACATCCCTTGCTTTCCATCATTCCCCACACGTCACTACCGGGACGTTCTGCTCCGCAACCACTTTATCTGTGGTCTGTCCCTAGCACACCGCATGAATCATTTCATGACTGCACCGCTTTTAGAACAAACTACACACAAAACACATACGGAGGCCTGGTATACAACTAGATTCCCAAGGAACTCTTCTGGTATGCAGTATTGCCAGGAGTGCAAGCGCGCATGCATATGTGAGGTGCACCACACTGTTTTTCCAATACAACACCTCTTTTATGCATTGCATACAGTCATCTAACATAAGCTTTCCCCCGGTCTCAAACACCACTTCTATGCCACAGCGTCAACAGTTGCTGTTGACACACATCCCAGTGGACACCTCCCATCAAGCACAGCCCAATATCCAGCAGTTCTAATGCATTGTACTGCATAGGCTACAGCTAATCACACATCACACGGGGTAGACCCTGCCCTGTCATCCATCTCCTGATAGACTTGCTGAAAGGAGACATTTCGAGCAATTGTGTAGTACCTGGAGACTACTAAACTCTAACAATACTAAACAAAACACATAAAATGTATACAACACAACACAGCTCTTTTATTCCCCTAAAATATATGCATATGTTCAAAGCACTTCTAATAGGTGCATGTATTCATACTTTTCATGGGTACTGCTCCTGTGGCTTCTTGACCACAGCCAAGGAGCTAATGGATCCCACAGCACACATACCCCATTTTTGTTTAGATTTGTATTATCTGAATTACATATTTTAAAGAGAGAGGAGTCATACCCTATCCACCAGACCATTATGACTTCCAAGAATGACTGCGAGAGACTGTTGTTTTCAAAATTGGCTGTGCTTTTAGTGAAGTTACTTAACTTTGTTCTGAGTAGGAGAGTCCATGCCTGCAGAATGAATAAAATTTTTATATTCACCTCAGGGTATGAAGACTAAATGAAAATGTGCACACCTTTTGAATAGAGTACCTGGTATATGATACCTGTTAATGGCAGCTTTCTTGAGTTTCCACCCCTTCTTTTTCTTTGTGATAGGATTAGACAGTATAGCCTAGGCTAGCTTCGACCCCTCTCTCAATCCTGCCTTATTCTGGTGTTGTGAGTATAAGCTTGTGCCACCATACCCTGCTTCTCCTGATATTTTTATCCAATGGTCATTCAAAGCCTGGGGAAATATGCAGAGGAAAATTGACCAGTCACAAGTATTGAAGAAACTTCTGGTATCTAGTAGAAGGGAAGACAGAGGCATGTAATGTTGCATACAGGACACAGCATTGTACAACGCAGACTAAATTGCAAATGTTTATTTTATGAATCACTTCAAAGATAGAAATAGTAGGTAACAGTTATTCTTTCTTAGGAGTGCCATGACCATCATTGTAAAGTCTGCTAATATCTTGCAGATCAGACCTGCCTTCCTATAGTTCCAGCTTTCGAGAGAAGTCACTTTGAGACTAATTATGGTTACCTTCAACGACTCCTCATGCCATCTGATTTTACCACATAAAATATATATGCCCACATAAATTTTTAAACCCCAGTTTCCTCATCTATATACAAAGTGAAAATATCACTATTAACATATCAGGCTTGTCATGAGAATTAATCTTTTTGATAGTTTAGCTCAGTGCATGACATTTAAGTGGTTAAAAAGCATGATTTCATTGTTTGATAATGTTTTCTAAGTTATATTTGTTACTGAATATAGTTTGTTCTGGAATTGAGAAAAATGTAGAGGCATTGGAATATGGACTTAGTATGACATAACTACTTGTTTCACAACTTCATCTAATAGGTGGGTTTTAAATGATAGAATGAGGTGGGCGGTGGTGGCACATGCCTTAATCCCAGAAGGCAGAAGCAGGAGGATCTTTGTGAGTTTGAAGCCAGCCTGGTCTACAAGAGCTAGTTCCAGGACAAGCTCCAAAGCTACAGAGAAACCCTGTCTCAAAAAAACCAAATAAATAAATAAATAAATAAATAAATAAATAAATAAATAAATAAATGATTAAATGATGAGGGGCTTCTTTTGAAATGAGAAAAGCAATTACACTATTTTATATTAGATGGTGAAAAGCGAGAATCAACCATATGTCCTTAATATTATTATAGGCCCTTTCAAAATAGATCTTTCTCTTTTCTAAGGCAGAAAGTAATGTTCTGGATTTTTTTAATGCCATATTCTATCTAGTTGATGCATTGAGGCAGTGAAGGATGAAAAATGTGTATGAATTTTAGCAGCTTGTCAAAAACAATTTAAAAATTTAAAAAATAGTCAGATAAATGGCTGGTCTCTTGCTGTTACTTTAATATGTTCATCTCTTCCCAGAGTCTTTTATTTCCTGCCCAATGGTAGTTTCTTCCCAACCCTTTCCCCCTTTTTTCCTGTTGATTTTGCTATGACTATTATGTTTTGTTTGATTTTTGAAGGAGTGTTTTCCATGTTAGAATACTCAGCCCGTTTTCTTCATATGAGCCACAAGTCCTTTCCCCAAGTTTGGATTTTCTTGGCTTTTTTGACTGCTTTGGTTTCCTTCACCTCATTGCTGTGCTGATCTATTATTTGCTTATGGTTTCTGTGTATTGTGCTGTACTTCAGGAAAATGCTTCCACTTAGGTGTCTGACTTGTTTTTAATTAAACAGTTTTCTAGTAGACCCTCCCCTTATAACTTTGTAGCATATATATATATATTGTCTGTCAAAGTATTTCCTGCCAACTCTGCCTTTGTCATGACTCCCACTGACTTTCTGTGTCAGGAAAAACCCTCCCAGCAGCTGGGCATAGGGGAAAACATCATCCTTGGAATCTAGCAGCCCTGATTCCAATGCCAGTGCTGCATCTTGTAACCTGTGAAGCTGTGAAAAAGTCACTCAGTCTTTCTGACCAGTTGTGTCATTTTTAGAATGTGGTTGATTGGTGTGGGAAGTCCTTCTGTATATGTGTTGGTTTTATTGGTTAATGAATAAAGAATCTGCCTTGGCCTGTGATAGGATAGAGTAGAGCTAGACTCGAGGCTGGGGGTAGGGGAGGTGGAATGACATGGACTAAACTGAATGCTGGAAGAAAGAAGATGGAGTCAAGAGATGCCATGTAGCCCCGCCAGAGACAGACACTTGGGATGGAACTTTACCCAGTAAGCCATAGCCACAACCACGTGACGATACAAAGGTTAATGGAGATAGGCTAGTTTAGGATATAAGAGTTAGCCAGAAATACGTTTAAGTTATTAGCCAAACAGTATTGCAAGTAATATGGTTTCTGTGTGATTATTTCGGGGTTGAGCAGTTGGGAGCTAACTAAGGGCCTCCTACTAAAGTTGATAACATCTATTTTGTATTTGTCTGTGGAAATTAGCAATATAGTAATTAATAGCCTGCTGAGTGCTTGATATATTGTCACTATATCACAGTAAGGGCAGTGGGATGTTGGTCTGAATGAAAATGTTGTGTTCCTCCTGTATAGCCATTCTTCAGCGAGACCTCGTACCCAAGAAAGTGAATTTGGAGCCTCTTTGCTTCAGCCAAAGGGCAGTGCGAGTCCCCTTATAAGGACAATACTGCCATTTTTAAGGTGACATGGTGTTGGGGTGTCCATTAAAATAAAATTGCACAGTGGTGGCCTATGGGATCTGTTGGCTTCTGAGGTTTAGCTTTGAAGTATGCTGTATGAAGGGACAGGTATCAGTTTGTTAAGCTACTGAGGTAAGAGGACAGTCTAGGAAATACTGTGTGATCTCATTTCAGAACCTGTGCTCATCCCTGTCTTAACTCTAGAAGCTGATTAATTGGTGACAGAAACTTAGCTGTCTACATAGCAGCTGGCATCTAACTTAACTTCTGTTTTTAAATCAGTATCTTAGGTCCTTATCAAATCATTATTCCATTCCATATCTCTTCATGTTTTGATGACTCAGACTTTTTTATGTGCAAAACCTTTTTCCCTGAAATTTCTAAAATTTATTTATTCTGAGAGAGAGCACAGTGTTTATGTGGAGACTACAGGTCAATTTTGTTCCCTCCTTCCATCTTTGTATGGGTTCTTGGTATCAAAGGTTTACACACCAAGAGCCTTTACCCACTGGGCCATCTTGCTACTCCTTCTAAGATTTTTTATCTCTTATTTTTACTTAAGTAATTTTTTTTTTTTTTGAGACAGGGTTTCTCTGTAGCTTTAAAGCCTGTCCTGGAACTAGCTCTTGTAGACCAGGCTGGCCTCGAACTCACAGAGATCCACCTGCCTCTGCCTCCCGAGTTCTGGGAGCCTGTCTAGTAATACTTCTTACTATATAAATTCAGCCTTTTCTTTTCTTTTTCCTTCCTTCCTTCCTTCCTTCCTTCCTTCCTTCCTTCCTTCCTTCCTTCCTTGTTTTTTTCAAGTTAGGGTTTCTTTGTGTAGCCCTGGCTATCCTACAACTCACTCTGTAGACCAGGATGGCATCAAACTAAGAGATCCACCTGCCTCTACCACTGCCTCTCCTGTATTGCGATTAAAGACATACAACACCACTGCAAATTGCTTGCTACTTGTCTCCTTGTCTTTAAAATATTTCTTTCCATTCTGTTTCATATTATACTTTCTGCCTCCTTATTCTGTGTTTTAAAAACTGCAATGCTGAACTTTCTTCTCCCAAGCTTCTCAGAAATTATCAATAATTCAAGAAACCACCTTCTTGACTTATGTTTCTATTTCCCCATTTGCATTTGCTTTTCTTGAGTCCCACATATGCTATCAGTCAGTGTCTATCAGCCTGTCATGCTCTTTCAACATAAAGTGTCCAACATAGTGTTTGCATAGTAGCTCTTCCTTATAAACTGTCAGTCGCAATATCTGTTGAGTGTGTAGCATGTGTCAGGTCCCAAGAACAGAAGGGAGTAAGTCCCTGTTTCAGAAATAGGCTCTGGCAAGGTAGACAGAGAACACATCGACCAACAAAGGGACTAGTCCAGTTTACTGGAATGGTGAAGCAATAGACAAGCCATGCATGGGAGGAAAGTTATCATTCTGTTTCTGCTCTGATTTTAAATCTTATAATTTTTCCCCTCTTGATTTTCTTTTTCCTGATTGCTTTCTTGTTACCTGTTTCCATGCTTCTTCCTCCATCTTCTAGGCCCCCAGCTTTCCATTTTCAAGAGTGGCTGATGTAACCTTGTTACATTGCTCTCTTCCTTGTGATCTCTTCATTCTGACTTTTTGAAAATTTTCTTACCACTTCCTGTATCAACCAAGTACATCTTTTGTTATTTTATCACCGAAAGAGATTTCTCAAAAATGAATCTTGTGTTTTGATAAGTTGGGTTTTTTTTTTTCTGTGTGTGTGTGTTTAAGAACAGTGGGTCTCAAATGCATGTTTGAGTAGAATGGTAGTTTAAGATGACCAGTTTTATTTATATATTATTTTGTATAATTTTGGTGGTGGAGATGAGCATTGTGTGTGCTAACATACTGAGCTGTGCCTTCAGCCCCTGGCTGCCTTTCCTGTAAGAGCTGAGCTGTATTAGGAGAGTGTTGGTTTTAGGAAGTGATACTAAGCAGTAAACTGTGTGTAGTGACTTTGCTCAGCAAAAGAAAATCTGCAGTCTTTGGGTGTTAGATTATGGAAAGTGGCCTGCGTTTTGGTTTCCTGTTTAGATCTGAGAATGAATTCTCAATGTTTTCTATTTTCAGGGATGACTCTGTTCCAGAAGACAACATCTGGAGAGGCATCCTCTCGGTTATTTTCTTCTTTCTCATCATCAGCGTGTTAGCGTTCCCCAACGGTGAGTGATATCCTGAGATGTTGTAGTTCTCCTGTGCATCACGTCCTTCTGACTCTTTGAGGTGCAGATTACAAGATGGGTTTTGTGTAGCAGGTGGGCACAGACTCCTCTTCTCAGCTCTGTGTCCCACTTCTCATCCTTAAATGTGTTCGTTTTTCTACTATGTGATGTAGATAACAGGAATGATGTGAGAGCTAACTAAATTAATAATGTTAAACCCATGTTTTGACTTGTTCTTTTATTGCTATAACAAAACACATGGGGCTATATACCTCATAAAGAATGGAAGTTTTGAAACTCAGTTTGGAACCTGAAAGTCCATTCTACTTGTGATTGACCTTTAGGTGAGGGTTATCTTTTCATCATGGTGCATTGTCTCATGAAGGAATTATACACAAGAGGTGGATGGGGTGGGGAGCCTCACCTGGGAAGACTGGATTTGGTATTTTATAATAACCCTTTGATGAAAACCAGGGTCCTTAGAGAACTGCATTATTCATTTTAAGGGCAGCACCCAGTGACCTCCCACTAGATCCTGCCTCTGACAGCTTCTACTACCTTTTCCCAACACTGGGATCAAGTTCCTGACATATGAGCCCTTAGGAGTCAAACCACATGCAAACTATGATGAATGCTAAGCTCTCTGTAACTGTTCTTTTTGTTTTTGTTTTTTGTTTTTTTTGTTAGTAATTTTTTTGGGCATGGGGGGGGGGCAACAGGCTCTACCTATATATTCCATGGCTGTCTGGAATTGGCTATACTTGATTGCTTGATCTTCCTGCCTTGGCTTCCTGAGTGTTGGGATCACACAAGTGATTACAGGCATATACTGTCATGCCCTGCTCAGCTGTTCTTTCCCTGGATGTTTTTATTATTAACAGCTGTACAGTACTGAGTTACTGTTACTTTTTTTTTTTTTTTTGCTAAAGACAGAACTAGCTCCAATGAGTGTTTACTTAAAACAGTTTGCTATCTGCTCTCACAATTGTCTTTGCTGTTGTATATTTGTATCTAGTAGAAATCTGATGATTATGGACTCACTCTGTCAGGATTAGAGAAAGGAAGAAGAAAAACCTTTCTTGCATGCTTCTAATTAACTCATACCTTTCCTCTGAAGTGTTCCCTATAAGTTGCTATATCTTTAATCCCTTTTATGTCTCCTTTCTAGATTATTCAGTGCTTGTTCTCTGTACCCACTTCTAAATGCTCAGTATATTTTATTTTTCTCACACCTCAGATTTTTTTGCAGCCTTTCTTATGGGTTATGTTCTAGGAATCCTCTCAAATTTTAAATGACATCCTTTAAGATGTATTTATCATGTAGGCTCCCATGCTTCGGTAGATTGCTATGTATGGCATAGGAATCTCACTCTGAATGTTACTGAATCTGTTGGACATGATCCATGGCAAAGGCCTTCGGGTTTCCCAAACTGCTGGCAGTTCAGTTTTGTTTTGTTGTTTTGCTTCTCCTGTGTAGTATTGTGTTTATAAAAATATAGTAGTTTTTGCTGGTAGCGTAGAAGTCAAGACAGTAGAAGGAATTTTAAGTGGCCCTGTTATTTGGAAGCTGAGTTTAACTTTCCTAGCATTTTAGCCTGTATTTGTTTTCATTTGTGTGCTTTGTGTGCTTGTGTGTATACATTCACAATTGTATGTGTGTGGAGTGGAGGCCAGAGGTCAACACCAGGTGTTTTCCAGGATCACTTTACATCTTATATATTGAGGCAGGCCTCTCAACTGAACCCAGAGGTCATCAGTTCCTCCACAGATACCCTTACTCTACCACTGATGGATTACACGTGGACCATCGTACCTGCCAGGCAGTATTATGGATGCTGGGAATTAGAACTCACACTGTGCGGATAACTTAATTATATCCTGAACCATCTCTCAAGCCCCAACTTTAGTTTTTAAATTAAATTTACCTTTAGTGGAAATCTTGCACTATTTAAAAACCTACAAAAATTATAGAGATATAATAAATTTTCTTTTCCTTGATGATTTATTTATTTATTTATTTTTATTAATATTTTTTGTTAAAAATTTACATCTCCTCCCCACCTCCCATTTTCCACCCCCTCTCCCATGCTCCTCCCCCTCCCTCTCCTGTCCAAAGAGCAGTCAGGGTGATTGATGGTTTTAATTATTCACAATTACTAGGATAGGAAGACAAGATGTACATTATTGACATTGCTGTAAAATTTGCTAATAACAGCTCCCACTGTCAAATATCCTTTTGGCTCTATGTGCTTTCCTTTTCCTCCAAATAGACATCATTCAGGGTCTTCAGATTTTAAGCTTAGAAGGAGCTTTTGGTCATTATACAGCGCCTTGTTTCCTTCAATGGTGTCATGTGGGAATGTTGCTGAAGCAGCCAGCTGTGATGTCTCCCCTGCTCTTTGAGACTATGTTTTTATCCAAAGGTGGTTATAAAAATACAGCTCAGTTTTTAGTGAGTTGGAAAAGGGCTGCTTGTTGGTTCCCAGCCACCAGGCTAGCTTAGATCTGAAATAATCGCACAGAAACTGTATTAATTAAATCACTGCTTGGCCCATTAGTTTTAGCTTCTTGTTGGCTAACTCTTATATTAATTTAACCAATTTTTATTCATCTGTAAATTGCCACGTGGCTGTGGCTTATGGGGAAAGTTCCCAGTGTCTGTCTCCGTTGGCTTTATGGCTTCTCTGACTCCGCTCTCTTTCTCGCAGCATTCAGTTTAGTTTTCCTCACCTACGTTCTGCCCTGTTATAGATCCAAAGCAATTTTTTTATTCATTAATGGTAATCACAGCATACCATTAATCCCACATCACCAGTGGTCACTTTTTCATTACTTGAAGGTATATTTGTTTTCTGATTATTTTGAGTCCAGAGCTTTTTGAAAGTTTGAGGTGAGTCTCAGTCACCCTGATTTGAAAGTATATCTTTCCTGGTGCTTCTTCAGTAACTGGGCCCAGCAGTTTCTTTCACAGATGCCATTGGCACGGAGGTCAACGGATTAAATCTATCTGAAGTAACATTTGGTGTGACTTCTGGGTTTTCCTCCATTCTCCAGTGAAGCCCTCCAATCGTGCTCTCTCTCAGCATGGGACTGTGCTTTTGTTTTGATTTGGGAAAGTGAACCTGTTAATGTGGGTGGGTGCAGGCACATGTGTGCCATAAGACACGTGTAGAGGTCAGTGATAACCTTGGGTGTTGGTCTCTTTGTTTTTTGCACTATATATGTCAGGGTATATGGCTTGTGAACTTCTGGAGCTGCTTTTCTCTGCCTCCCATCTCAGCATTGGAACCCTGATACATTTGAACTTAGGTTCTCACATCTGCCTAACAGATGGTTACCTACTGAGCCACATCCCTAGCCTCCTGCTTTTGATTTTTGACACATGGTCTAGTTATGTAGCCCAGGTTGGCTTAATTCTCGCCTCAGCTTCCTGTGCTTTTAGACTGTAGTTCTTGTGCCATGACACTGAACTTGAAAAATTGTTTCCTAGAAGCTCTTTTTTTTTTTTTTTCTGGAAGCTCTTTAATATGCTTAAGTTCTTAAGTCTTTTAGGCTCGAAATGGGGCATGTACTTCTTCTGCCCGGTCCTGAGGACAGGGATTTATAATACCCAGAGTCCAGTGTGTATATAGATGCCCAATAGGTGTATACTGACTGAAAAGTTTCAGGGGACTAGATTACCTCTGGGGATTTAGAGTATACCCAAGTTAAAGGGGAGAGGGGTGGACCTCACCATAATCCCTTTAACTGTCAGTGGGTTGGTGTTGCAGGATTCCATTCTTGGGCTTCTTCCTACTCCTGTAAGGGGAGGCATTGTTCTATAAAGAGGTGTAGAGTATAAGAGCCCTTGGGAGACCAGGGAAGGAGAGGATATGATGTCTATTTCACATCCCTTGCTATCTCCTTCTTTACTATTCATTCTTCTGTTTCCTTTAACAAACAAACAACAACAAATTCTTGAAGCTTTTAAATTCTACCTTTATTCCAACATAGCTAAGGATCGTTAAGTAAGTTTAATTTTAACCCATTACTGGGGTGAGATGGAGTCCATTTGAATCTGCAGTTAGTTATGAGGCTTCTCAGAAGAGGACCTTCCAAGGGCTCTTCTAGCTTTTGTTATCCCTGGGTATATTCTATAATAAAGACTTTCCTTGACCTCCCATGACTGTGTGTAAATAGGAGTTTCTCTGTCCCACCCCATCCCTCAGCCGCTTCCAAATAATCACTTAGAGACTTAATATTACTATTAATTATTAATGCTCTACCGATAGTTTAGTGTAGCACAAATTCTAATTGGTCTTAATACTAAAAACCCAGAGCCAGATATTGGGGTAAAATCAGAGAAACAAAGGAGCAAGTCACTAGAGAGTTCTTACCTTTACCTAATCCTCATACTAAAGGTGCTAAGCTCCCGACTTCTCCTGCCTTATATTCCTGTCTCTACCTCCTTAGTGCTGGGATTAAAGTTGTGTGACTCCCAGATCCTGGGACCAAAGGCATGAGATCCCAAGTGCTGGGATCAAAGGCCACTGCCTGGCCTCTAGGGTTAACTAGTGGCTAACTCCACCCTCTCATCTTCAGGTAATCTTTATTTGTTAGAGCACAAACCCCTCAGCTCAGGCTTATTACTAGCTAACTCTTACATTTTATATTAATCCATTTCTATTAATCTACATTTTACTATGAGGCTCATGGCTTGTTACCTCATTTTCTACATGTCCTGCTTGTTCTGCAGTAGACTGGCATCTCTCTCAACTCTGCCCCTTCTCATCTGGGTTCTCAGTTTGATTGTTCACCTAACCTTATCCTGCCTGACTACTGGTCAAACAGTTTTTATTATTAACCAATGAGAGAAATACATATTCACAGCATACAGAAAAATTGTGCATCTCAGTGACTCTAGGCATGGCTGAGAAGCTTCAGAGTCTAAGTATACTTTTGGCAGACTGTGGATGGAAGCAGATTACTTCATCATTCTAAGCCTGTTTTCTCATCTTGTTCCCCCAAACCTGCTCACAAAACATACTTGACATGATTGTCTTGAACATTGGCTATTAAGCAAACAAACAAAACCAGGTTGTACTCTGGTATTTTTACATTGAATCTTACTGGAACCCTCATTGCCATGACCCTCAGTTCCCAGATGATGGTGCCACTGACCACTAACTGCCCCTGCTGACTGGAGTTGTAGAAACACAGAAGATAGCTGTGATCCTTCCTTGTTTTGTCACCAGCTCCTGAGGTCAGTTACGGCACAGGGCTACTGAAGACCAAGCCTATGCTGTAACAGGCTGCATGACATCTCCCTCTTGGCATTTGGGAGTTCTGCAGCTTTCCAAGATTAAGAAGGCTGTTTCAAAAGGTGTGGGAAAAGAAAAAAGAGAAAATAAAATTTAGCATTAGAGATAGCTGTATGTAGATCAACAGAGCTTTCTTTTCTGGCTAAATCCAGTTTATTCTAACTTCATGTCCTCTCTTTGCAGGTCCATTTACTCGACCTCATCCAGCCTTATGGAGAATGGTTTTTGGTGAGTCCTATTAGTAGATGACAAAGTTCTTTCTACTTAAAAAAATCTTGCCTGGCAGTGGTGGCATATGCCCTTAGTTCCAGCACTCAGGAAGCAGAGGCAAGTGGATCTGTGAGTTCAAGACTAGCTTGGTCTACAGAGCAAGTTCCAGAAAAGCCAAGGCTACACAGAAAAACTCTGTCTCAAAAATCAGAAATAAAACAAACATCTTTTTTCTCTGTATCATGATAGTGGTTTTATATCATAGCTTAAAAACAAATAAAAACCCAACTTTTTAGTCTACCTAATACAAAAATGTTACTAAGATTCTTTGATCAAAAAAATAAATGGCTAGTGGTAGCACAAATTCTCATATATAGGTCATTTATTTCTGTCTCAAAAGAATTGTTTCACAAAGATTGTGATTTTATATAGTAAGGTGGTCATTAAAGATGAAAATTTATAAGACTGCTACATAAATGCAAACCCAAGGTAGTTCTCATGTATCAGAAAATTTATATTCCTTGGTCCAGGGATGTGTGGCTGTGGTGGCCCTGCTCTACAAGGGACCACAGTGCAAGCAGTGTTCCCCTTGGTGAATGGAGAGCAGCCCAGCTAGAAGGCCTGGAACTGTAGCCCTCATTATGTATTCATTCCAGTTACTCACATCATCTTCTCTGTATAGCTATTTGGATATCAGAACCAAGCCAAGTTTGTTATTCAAGGCGATAATTATGACAGTGCCTGGATGCCCTAAACATGATCTGATTCCAGCAGGCTCACCAGAAACAATGACAGCCGCCTCTGGTGGTGGGGATGCAGGGGGGCCTTCCGGTGTATTAGTGGTTTTTCTTTTTTGTTTATTTGCTTTGTTTTTGTTGTTTGGTTGATTTTTTTTTTTTTCAAAACAGGGTTTCTCTTTGTAGCCCTGGCTGTCCTGGAACTCTGTAGACCAGACTGGCTTCAAACTTACAGAGATCCTCCTGACTGTGCCTCCCAAGAGCTGGGATTAAAGGCATTCACCACCATCGCCCAGCTGGCTTTACTTTTTTTAAATGACGTGGGGTTTGGTTATCTAGAATAGCAATTATGATAGGTGTGACAAGAAAATAATCCTTGTCAGGGCTAATTTGAAGAAGTCTCAGATGAATAGGCAAGTGTGACCCACTTGTAGTCTACTCATCATCATCATAAAACACTGTTTTGTTTATCTTTTTCCCCATTGACCTTGGGAGAAAATCAGAAAGCCTTGCCTTGTCCCCTAATCTTGTCACTTCAGCACCCCTTAGTACATTCTCATCTCTCCCATCACTCCATCCTCACCATGAGATATCTCTCTTCAGGAATATTTTCATGGTATTTCTCTACTTCATGCTCCCCTAAGCCCACCATACACATCATCTGACTGCTGGTCCTTCAAGGCTTAATTTAAGTAGCATTTCCTCAGAGAGAGGAATCCCTCTCAACATGAATTAGGACTGTGTCAGATCCTCTCACCAAAGAAAATACCTGGGTATGATAGATTCTCAAAAGACTACTTTTGTGATAGTTTTGTGATATTCATGTAACTCTAAGCCCCTGGGTCTAATGTGTCTCTCCTAAACTTGACCTTGTTTTGTTTCCATCAGGCCTTAGTGTGCTGTATTTCCTCTTCTTGGTATTTCTCCTTTTCCTGAACTTCGAGCAGGTTAAATCCCTAATGTATTGGCTAGATCCCAATCTTCGATATGCCACAAGAGAAGCGGACATCATGGTATGTACTTGTTAGTGGCCCTGTTGTGTTTTGAATGCTTTGCAGGTTGAAGGAAAAGCTGGTGGTGTTCTGGAGAAAGAACAGATATTTGCTCTGGCAATTGAGAAATAATAAAGAGATTAAAAGATCAGCGAGTAATCACCATCACAGAATGACTAGACCCTTCTTGGGATGAAAACTTCTAAATGTTTATCTTAACTGCTTTGGCCTCTAGCAGGGCAGAATATAGCTGGACAGGAAAACTAAACTGAATGCAGGGAGAAAGAAAGCGGGGTCAGGCAGACGCCATGTATCCACCGAAGGAGAATGATGCCAGAACATTACTAGTAAGCCAACAGCCTCGTGGCAATACATAGATTAATAGAAATGGGTTATGTAAGAGCTAGCTAGGAACACACCTAAGCCACTGGCCAAACAATGTTGTAATTAATAATAGTTTTGTGTAATTTTTTTGGTCTGAGTGGCTGGGAAATGAAAGCATACAAAATGTCACCCAACATGGGCCAAAGTAAGATTTTAAAAATATTAAAAATGTGTCCTAAGTGTCAGACAAATTTGAAAAGCACAGCCCTTTAAAAAATTATTTTTCAATCATTTTTAAATTAGTCTGTCTGAAGTAGCTGTCTTTTGTTTGATTGATACTGACTGAGCTTTTCCTGGGCTTGCTGGTGATAATGGGGAAACAGGTGAGCAGGCTCCCTCCTGTCTTCTGGGAGTTAGAGTTACAGGTAACTAAAGTTAAAGAAAAAGTTGTTGGCTATTGCACCACAAAACAATTTTAGCATAGTTTCTAGAAATTTCAGCATATTTTTATGAATTTTAAGAGCATATAAGTGTACATGCCTGATACATGTTTTTTACACCTCAGTCATAATGAGGTCCCTATGTTGCATGAGATCTTTAGGTTGTATCTTAGGGTATTCTGCGACTCTTGATTAGTAGTTTCCCCATGCATGTTTTCTTTTTCCTTGAAGTTTATTTATCTCATAGAGTTTCTCACATAGAGATTTTTGTAACTTGCTTTCAAGACATTGTCATCTGTCTTCCTGCTGCCCACCCCCGCCCAGATTTCTTGAACACTAGAAGTAGGGCTAGAGCTTGTCCCAGTTTGCTTTCTATTCTGTGATAAAATGCCATGACCAAAAGTAGCTTGGAAAGGAAGGGGTTCATTTGGCTTACATATCCCAGTCACAGTTGATCATTGAAGGAAGTTAGTGCAGGAACTCAAGAAGCAGCAAAGGTAAGAGCCATGAAGGAATGCTGGTTACTGACTGGCTAGCTCCCTTTGACTTGCTCAGCTTGCTTCTTATATTGCCCAGGACCTGCCCAGAAGTAGCACTTCTCACAGTGGACTAGGCCTCCTAGTATAGAAAATATTCCATAGACCAATCTAATAAAGGCAGTTTTTCAGTTGAAGGCTCCTCGTCTCAGGTGACTAGTTTGTGTCAAGCTGACAAAAACCTAACCAGCACAAGGCTGGAATAGTGTGGTTGTTTGAATATAATTGGCCCCTGTGATTTTAGAGGGAGTGACACTCTTTGGAGGTATGGCTTTGTTGAAGTGACTACAGCCTTGTTGGAGGAAGTGTGTGACTCTGGAGGCAGGCTTTGAGGTTTCCTATGCCAAGAATAACACCCAGTGTCTCAGTTGGCTTCCTGAAGCCTACAAGATGTAGGACTATTAGCTCTTTCTCCAGCACCACATCTGCCTGCATGCTGCAATGTTCCCCGCCATGATGAGAATGAACTGAATTTCTGAAATTGTAAGCAAGCCACCCCAATTAAGTGTTCTTTGTAAGAGTTGCCGTGGTCATGTCTCTTTACAACCGTAGAAACCCTAGCAAAGACAGATGGGATGCCACCCTCTTGCTTCATTCTTATTTTGGTGCTCTATCATAGTTAGTGCCATCTCTGATATCATCCATTGTTTCAACTAACTTTAGATCAAAAATATTCAGAAGGGAAAATTACCACTTTACTAAACATGTACAAACTATTTTTTGTCATTATTCTCCAAACCATTCAGAACATTTATACTTTGTTAGGTAGGACATGTAACTTAGAAATGACTTAAAGTATAAAGGAGGATGCGCATAGATAGTATGCAAAACTGTTGCTTTATATCAGTGATATGAGCATTTGGATTTTGGTATCCTCCATGTATTCTGGGACCTATCCCTTGAGTGAGAGGAGGTAGCCAAACTGCTATGCCTACCCTGCAGCAAGGACCTTGGGGGCCTCTGGAGGTGATTAATTGGTTAATCTACTCTTTAAAATTCTAATGTTAGGATATGCAACTTGGCCTTTTATAGTTTTTTAAATGTCTTCATGTAATGAAAGCATAAATAAATGTACATTCAAATCCCCCAGAAGCACCTCCAGCTTGTGATTGTGCTAAGAGTGGTCACTGAAAACAAACACGCCCAACCTGGGTCCTTATTGAGCCTTAAGCAGCCTATTCCAGAGTAATCATAGGGTGAGAGATTGAAGAATTCTAGGCTGATGGCACCTTGTCACTCTCCTTAAATTAATAGACAAGTGGCTTTAGACTCAGGTTGTTTCTCTGTCAGCCAGGAATACCCTATAATGAGATCACATTGTTTCAGGGTCTGGGAACTTGCCTCTAGGATTCCTGCAGTGAATGAAAAGATTGATAGGACTCTAGCACTGCATTTCCTGTTCAGTTTGGAAGGTTTTTATAGCAAGAGGCTTACAGTAACATATCAGTTTATAAGTGAGTTAGTGTAAGGAGGCTTTCTAATTGGTAGTTTCTAAATGGCAATGCAACACTGCTGAAATGAGAAAGAAAATAATTTTGCAAAGGTTTAATGTATCTTTAAAAAATGACATCACATGTACCTGGCCACTGAGAAGCTGAATAAAAGTTAGCAATGAAATATAAGGAATTCAGTAGACTTGGTAATTTAAAAACACTTTCTAAAAATCATGGGCTGAAGAAGAAATTATGGCTGAATATTTGTAAATATTCAATGAAGATGAAAATACTGGAAGATACAGGTGAGGAACTTCTGAGGAAGAGGGAAAGCCTAAACTCTTTACTGGGCAAGAGCTCAAAGGGAAGAGTCCCCACCCAAAAATGTATTTAGTATTACATAAATTCAAAGATGAAAGTTCTCAAGCGTTTAAGAATGTTGATTCCATTTCTAATTTTAGCTTTGAATATATTGTATATTTCTAAGTAATTTTAAATCTTATATTTGTTATGCAAAGTTAATAATGTTTGAACTCTATGTTAATCAGGAGTATGCTGTGAACTGCCACGTGATCACCTGGGAGAGGATCGTCAGTCACTTTGATATATTTGCATTTGGGCATTTCTGGGGCTGGGCCATGAAGGCCTTGTTGATCCGTAGTTATGGGCTCTGCTGGACAATCAGCATCACCTGGGAGCTGACAGAGGTAAACCATGGACAGGGTATCCCCAGGGTCATGCAGTCACAATGTGTGTAGAGGAAGTTATAAGTTGTCAGGTGGTACTCAGACATTTCATCCTCTAGTCCCTGGTGTGCAAAACTGGATTTATACAATCCCATGACAATTCTGTATATTTTTGTTTAAGAAACAAAAACTAAACAAAACTCTCTATGTCTTTAAGGATTTATGCTCCTTTGTAATAAATCTTAAAGAAAGACAAATGAAACCAAGTTAACAAATGAAGTTGGTGTCCAAAGTGAGACAAATCAATATAAAGAGGAAATCTGTGTAGAAGTGAGTCACTTTATCCACACACCAGCTTTCTTTTTGAGGTCTGTAGAATTGAGTGTGCTGTACTACAAGAGCAGGTATTTTGTCTCTGATCATGATTTCCTAATAGAGCCCCCATAACCTGTAATCCAAAGTTACTGTTCATTAATTAATGAGAGGTACACCCTGAGAAACTATTAACAAAACAAAAGTTGGAGAACTATTCTAATTAGTTTTATATTTATTAATCATTTCCAGCACACAGTATTTGGCTATGTGCTTAGCGTATTTCTCAATGCCAGCCATTGCTGACTTACAGAAGCATTTCAGTTAGGTGGACTTCCATTAGTGTACTCCCAGTTTGCGAGGTCAGTGTCTGTAATCAAGCTATGGTCATGGTTGCTTCTTTCTGAGCACTGCTGTGGCCATCCTTTCCCTGCTTTCCTCTTAAGAGCCTGTATCACTTGATACAGTTGTTAGCATTCCCTGACTTAGAGATGCATCACCCTGATCTCTGACCTCATCATCAGGTAGCCTTCTCCCTGTGTGTCTGAGCCTTTGTGGGCTTCTTTTTATAAGGACAGATGTCATGAATGGACCAGGTCTTACTTGACTCAGTGTGATCTCTGCTTAAGTTGTTACCTCTGTAATGACTCCAGTTCCAAGTAAGTTTGCTTTCTGAGGAACTGGAGGCCAGGTGTAGGAATTCCGAGAGGATGGGCTTCTACTCATCCATTGCATTGCTCAGTGCCTTACATCCCATCAAGAATCCGCCTGATAAGCAGGGAGAAGCAGTGTGTATCTATTCCCATTGTAGAGGGAGGAAACTGAGTTCAGCCTGACTTTGTAGAAAGCCACACCTGCACTGCAGACGTAAAGCCTGCTGCCCTTCCATTATATCACAGTCTGCCTGGGTAACCATCTTCCTTAACCAGTTGTTCTGTGACTATATAAGGCAACTGGCCTTTCTTAGCCTCCTTTGCTTTCCCTCACCTGGCAGGGGCATCTTCGGCCCTTTTTTGCTGCTCCCCAGCATTCTTTGGTCCCAAAGTCCTGGAATCTATTCTGAATACCTGTACAGAAGCTAAAGTCTCTTCTTCTCCCGCTCAACGTCTGATTCATCTTTTGCTGCAGTCTTTCTCTTTACACTGTTGTGAAAGTGTTTCTTTCCAGTCCTTCATCATATCGAGGCTTTTTCTTCCTACAAACGATTTAGTGTTTAGAATCAGCTTATGAGTCCCAAGAGGAGCTGACTACTGACTACTGACTCCCAACCTGTCCTCAGTAAGCTTATGGTGCAACTGTCTTTGTTCTTTGTATTTTTGAAGACCTCCATCAGAACATAGCCCCAGTCCTTCTCTCTTTCTGTGTCCTTACCTACTAGCCTGCTATTTCCCTGGCTGTACTTGAAGGAGGGTCTTTCTCACCCCTTTGCCACCAGTGATCCATGTTTAGACACAGAAAGCAGCTCTAAATACCTCTCATATTTTAGATCTTTTCTAGGCATCTCTTTTCTTCCAGGAACCATCCCCAGTTGCCCTCATTCAGAATGAGTCCATCTTGTCCCCAAAGTCCATTGACGTCACCAATGTAGCACTTGCCCAAGTCTGGTTTATTTTCAGATTCAACCTCCCTGGATACTCTTTTTAGACACCCTGTTATCTGGCCACCATGCGTACAGTGGTGCCTACTGGAAAATGGAATGGCTGGGCACCAATACTTTAAATGTCCCATTGTACCTCTGTTTCTATCACTATGCATCAACAACCAACCTCTCTGCTTTTACAGCTACTCACAAATTGGCCACCATTCTGGAACTGTCCCTGGACACGCAGCTTGCATTCTCAGGCTTCCCATTTTGAGGATTTGCAGCACTTTGTTGTCAGCTTTGAAGCCTCTGTTTATTCCTCTTGAAGATACCTCTGTGTGCCATCAACCAGTGTGGCTCATTGGGGCTGCCAATGTTTGAAATCCATGTTTTTTGTTTTCTTTTGTTTGTTTTTAAAGGAGAGCTATTTGGGTAAATGTTATTTGTAAAAAACACTCCAATATAAAGAAGCAGAAGCATATTTCAGACTTTGTTATTGTTATTTTTATATACATTTGGGAAAAGGGAAACACATTTTCTGAAACAATGTGTTATAAAGAATCTATATTCAGGGTCCCTGCCCCATTAACAATATTTACTCAACTGTCGTCTCTTGTGTTCCTCAGCTTTTCTTCATGCATCTGCTGCCCAACTTTGCTGAGTGCTGGTGGGACCAGGTTATTCTGGACATCCTGTTGTGTAATGGTGGTGGCATCTGGCTGGGCATGGTTGTTTGCCGATTTTTGGAGATGAGGACTTACCACTGGGCAAGCTTCAAGTGAGTCCTCTTCTTTGGAACCTTGGTCACAGTGTTGTGTATGGTTTGGGCTTTATTGCAAATGGGTTTTAGTATAATCTCACAATAACGGGTGAATGCTACATTGGCAATTGAAGTACATATAATTATAAATCTACTTTCAAACATTCATCTAGAAAATGCTGCTGGGTATAGTGATTTACATATGTCATCTAGCACTTGGGAAGCTGAGACAGGAGGATTATGCAAGTTCAAAGCTGTGGGTTATGAAGTGACTTTCATGCCAGCTTGAGGTACATAGTGAGACCCTGTCTGAAAACATGAAAAACAGGTATGGGAAATGCGAAATCATTTGCCATTTCATCTTTGAGCACTCTTTTGGTTCAAAATAATTCTCACGGCCACTCCTTTAATTCATTTCCTCAGCCTGAATCTAAACTCTCATCCATAGATTAAGTGGTCTGCCCCTGGGGATAGCCTTTCCAACTTTCATCAGACTGTTGCATGAGGGAGCTCTTAAAAAACATTAGGTTCATCCTTTCACACACCCTGTCTTAGGGATTTATTGCTGCAAAGAGACACCTGACTACCACAACTTTTATAATGAAGACTTTTTATTGGGGCTGCCTCAGAATTCAGAGGTTTAGTCCATTATCCTCATGGTGGAAAATATGGAGGTGAGCAGACATACATAGTGCTAGAGAAGGAGCCCAGAGGTTCTACATCTGGATTGGCTGGCAGCAGAAAGAGAAAGTGATACTGGGCCTGCCTGGAGCTTCTGAAACCTCAAATGCCACACCCCAGAGATATACTTCCTCCAACAAGGCCATACCTACTCCAAGAGGACCACACCTCCTAAAAGTGCCATTCACTATGAGTCTATGGGGTCCATTTTCATTCAAACCACCACGCACCTCTGTTGTGGCTTCTCTAGTCTTAAGTACAAAGTGTCTATCCATGGCCTGGGAGGCAAGACCCTTTTCCATGTCACCTCAAGCACCCAAAGTCCCATAGCCATCCACAAGCTCCTTTACTAGGGACTCGGTCTTCATTCTGGAGACTAGGCTAGTCCTACTTTCCTTTGCTGACCCTAATTGTCATCTCATCAGGAAAGTTTGCCCTGACTCTAGTTCTAGAGTGTAACCCCCCCCCCACTCTGTGCTTGTAGAAGGGCAGTTTGTGTTACTGCCATTACTTCATTCATTGCTCCTCAACTTGTGGCAGGAGCTGAGGTATGATAATAGATGTTCTCACTGCATTAGGAAGTTTATATCACAAAATATGAACATTTCCCCAAATCAGCCAATATTCTTTCAAAAGATGATTTTCAAAGGCTTTTCCATATATATCTCAGTATATAAACAAGCCATAAAATAATCCATGGTCATTTAGTTGTTTCTAAAGTTTTGCTGTTTTAAAGGCTACAGTGAAAATCATGATGTATCTATGTATCTCTATATGCATTTCCAGTCCGTTCTCTCTTTTTAACTGGTAAGCTTCTTACAACTAGAGTACACTGATTTGTAGCCTCACCCATCCTGAGTATGTACATGTATTCATTCACTGTTCCCTTGAATCTGTTTTTAAACCTTTCAGATTCATCCCACATTAAATTGAAAGGATTTCTGCCTAATTCTTCTGGAGTTTGTCTTTCACTGCTTTTTATAGTTCAAGAATTCTTGCATGTTGCCATAAATGGTACTTTAGCTTTCCATTTTGATATACTCCACCCCACAGTATTTGGATTGAGCCCAGTGCCTGCACGTGCTAAGCAAGTTCTCTGCCACAAGTCAGCCCCAGCCCCTCTTCATCTCCAGTCACATTAAATTGCTGTGCTGGCCTTCAACTTACTCTGTAGCCCAAGCAGATCTTGAATTTGTAATCCTCCTGCCTCAAGCTTTTAGTAGCTGGGATTACAGGTCTGTCTATCAGGTACCACTTCTTTCAGTTTCTTTGATTATATGTTTTTCATTAGAAATAATATATTTGCTCTATCTCAAAAGTTTTTGCTTATTTGTTTGTCTGTCTGGGTTTTTTGTTTTGTTTTGTTTCTTATTGGTGTTTTAGATGGAATCTACTAACATAGCTTGGGCTGACCTTGAACTCTATACCCCCCCCCCCCATTTAGCCTCCTGCATGCTGGGATTATAAACCTACACAATAATGTTTAGCCTAGATTAGATTTATATTGGTATGCGGTACAAAGGAGAAGTTTTGTACCTGTTGCCTTTTAATTATCTAGTTTGTGCTCTTTAGCTTACTAACAATCCCTTCTTTGACTATTGACTTTGAGGCCTTTGTAATTATTTAAAGCTGATCTACTGTGTAAACAGTATCTGGGCCAGACACTGCTCCAAGCAAGTGGAGCAAAGTGCCACTTGAAAGCCTTGCATCATTCCTGAGGATAGACTGTGCTCCTTTCTTAGGATGGTAATAGTGAAGCCCAGGATCAGAAATTTTCCTAAAGACACATGATCACTAAGCAGTTGAGTGTGAATTTATACCAGGTTGACTCAAATGCAGTCACAGTACTTCCGTATTTATGCATTTATCATCCCAAGTTCAACTTTAGAATCATTTTGTCAAGATGCCAGAATATAAGCCCACACTAAACAAAGGCTCAGTATTTTGAAAGCCAGATTAAATATATAATGAATATAGACTATTTTAAATTAAATTAACCTCTTGACTACATTAAACAATCTGCTTCTGGATTGTAATGTATTTCAATTTGTTTTGTTATGTTTGGCATTTTGAAAATAAGGAAAAGGACCCTTTGCCATCCTTTTTAAGTTGGGCAGTCTCTGTTCTTGTTGCTATTGTACCTGCATCCGTGCTGGGATGTCTTCCCAGCACATCCTTATGCTGGGAAGGTACATAAGGCAGGTGGATGAAGAACCTGACCTGCTTTCCCCCTGTCTTCTATCTCTCTTCCTCTGGAAGGAAAGGTCTAGAACATTGTTATTTATGTCATTGACGCTGAGCATACAGTCATAACACAAGAGTCCTCAGTATAGACCTCTGTTGAATTAGGCTCCTCTTGGCTTAACCAAAAGGTTAGCATACCCTGTTCTGTGGACAAAGCTGGTCTGCACCATCCACCTAATCTTTAAACCTAAGTCTTCCATGTGTGAGATGCATTTTGTAACATGAGATATTTGAATGAGAGATTCCCAGGATTAAACTGATGAAAAGTTAAAAAAAAAATCATTGTCACTGCAAACTCTGGGGACGGACAAGGGGTAATCTCAAGAGCATGAAACATGAGCCCCCTTACCATAACACCCCCTTGGCCCTTGGAATACAGAATGGGAGGGAATAGTATCTTTGCTCTGTCTACATTCTTCCTGGTTGTTTCCAGGTTGTATCTTTAATTCCTGTTAATACTTCACAAACTTAACCCTCAGTTAGCTCAGCAGAACCCAGATCTCTGATCTTGTTGACATCACTGTACCCTTACCACGAACCCCCAAGCTCCTCATTAAGTGTGCTCCTGTGACCTATGCTTGAGACCCTTCCAAATTGAAAGTTTCCTCTCTGTTCTGAGACGCTACTAGAATATCATCAGTGTAGCTTTACCTTTTCCCCTCTTATTTCATGGTTTCCATTCTCTTCTTCCAGGGACATCCATACCACCACAGGGAAGATCAAACGTGCTGTGTTGCAGTTCACCCCTGCTAGCTGGACTTACGTCAGGTGGTTTGACCCTAAGTCTTCCTTTCAGAGAGTGGCTGGGATATACCTATTAATGATCATCTGGCAGGTAATCTTATAGATGTCCATTCTAAGGAGGGGGGGGTAAAAACAAAACATGAATCTTCCTGGAGGCTATAACTAATGGCAGATTATATTTTGTGTTAGCTGGATACTCTAGAAGAGATTTTGTAGCTGGCATATAGAGTAATTAAAATCTAGGTTACTGTCTGAGGAATTGCTTCAGTGTGGAGACATTTAAAAATAGGAGTCTCTAAATTACAAATTAGGAACTGATTTCCTGGAAAAGATCATATTTAGCACCCATCACCCAATGAATTGGGTATAACACTGTTTTGAAGAATATTTTCAAAACCAAAGATACTATAAGAAGAGTTTTTTTTTAATATTTTTTTTATTGAGAATAAGAAAAAAAAGTTTTCCGCCTCCTCCCAGCCTCCCATTTCCCTCCCCCCCCCCCCACTCGTCCCCGCCTCCCCCCAGTCCTCTCCCCCTCCCTCTCTAATCCAAAGAGCAGTCATGGTTCCCTGCCCTGTGGAAAGTCCAAGGTCCTCCCCCCTCCGTCCATGTCTAGGAAGGTGAACATCCAAACTGGCTAGGCTCCCACCAAGCCGGAACATGAAGTAGGATCAGAACCACTTGCCATTGACCTTGGCTTCTCATCAGTACTCATTGTTCGCCATGATCAGAGAGTCCAGTTTTATCCCATGCTTTTTCAGTCACAGTCCAGCTGGCCTCCCAATAGATCAGCCCCCACTGTCTCAGTGGGTGGGTGCACCCCCCGTGGTCCTGACATCCTTGCTCGTGTTCTCCCTCCATCTGCTCCTCATTGGGACCTTGGGAGCTCAGTCCAGTGCTCCAGTGTGGGTCTCTGTCTCTATCTCCATCCATCACCAGATGAAGGTTCTATGGTGATATGAAAGATATTCGTCAGTATTGCTATGGGATAGGGTCAGTTCAGGTTCCCTATCCTCCGCTTCCCAAGGGACTAAGTTTTTAAAATTTTTTTATTTAATTGTTAATTTTAGTTTTTACAGTGCTAGGGATAGAATCCATAGTACTCAAGGAATGTCTGGAACCCACCTCGATAGATAGATACTGGGGGCAGTTGTTTAAAAAATTGAGACAGTAATTGGATTGGTGTCAGGTTTTGTCCTTTCCTTATTAGAAGGAAGCACAGCTGGTTTTTCGGGGGTCTTGCATGTGCCAGGCAAGCACCCTACCATTGAATCCTTTCTTTTATTCCTAATTTACTCTTTGGTGTACAAAAGTGTATTTCAACCTTTCCCAGTTTGTATAATGTTCAGAGAGCTGTCTCCGCTGTAGGTATGGGACGCTTGGATAGTGTGAATCTTGCAGTGAACGGGGGGAGAGAAGCATTCCAGGTGGAAGAAATCTCAGTAGCCAGTGGGGAAAGAGTCTCATGCCTCTCGTTTTGGAGACAGACTTTTTTCTTTCTTTCTGTCCCTAGAGGTTTTCACAGCTTCTGGAGACTCACCCTGGGAAACTACATTTTGCTTTAAAGGTTTTTTCAGAATCATCAAATGTAAAATTTCAGGACTTTCATACATGCACTGTGTTGCACATGTACAACTACACACACAAGTATATAAATAAATGGGAATTTTAAGACTGAAAAATCTTGTTCACACAATTCCTTTCTTGATAGAGTTTATTTTACAGAACTGCAAATGAGCAAATCATTACTGTGGAGAAGTTTGTCTCCATATCTGCAAGATCCATATATAAAGATCCAACCAATTGCAATTAAAAATAATCTAAAAAATCCTTACAAGGTGGAAGTGGTGGCACACACTTATAATCCTAGCATTCAGGAGAGTGAGACAACAGGATTAACGCAAGTTCAATACCAACCTGGGCTACATAGTTCCAGGTCAGCCAGCACTGCATAGCAAGACCTTGTGTCAGAACACCACCAACAAAAGTTACATCAGCCCTGAACATACAAACTACATGCCTCATGTAGTTAGCTTGCAGATGAACCTCAAGCATCTTTAGGAAAATAATGATTTATCTAGAGTTAGGCTGCTTTTAGAGTGGTACAATTTACATACGAATATAGAAGTACTGATCTGCACCATTTGTCCTGGGCTCAAAGTCTGTCCTGACTGTCCCAACAGATCATGCAGAGGAGCCAAGTGACAGAAGTGACAAGAAATGTTTCAAATAGCTGATAACCAGAGATCATACACTCCTTCAGTCATACATGTACACACACACACACACACACACACACACACACACACACACACAGAGCGACCTACTCCTAATTAGTCATTGGTTATGTACTGTCTGTTACTACTTTAAGTATCAATCTCTGGGAGACCCCATGCATTTTCTTAGAGTGCTTTGGGCATCCTGCTTATGTTTAGCTCTAGAAGACCTGTTTAAGGAATGTATGCTCATGATGTAGCCCAGCACAGGGTGACTGATCTCTCTTCTCTTCAGCTGACTGAGTTGAATACCTTCTTCTTGAAGCACATCTTTGTGTTCCAAGCCAGCCATCCTTTAAGCTGGTGTAGAATTCTCTTCATCGGCTGCATTACAGCTCCTACAGTGAGGTAATTCTGTCCAGTCCCACTGCCATTTGCTGAGGACGTATATTTGCTTTGTGTTTTCTTCCCTCGTATAAGGGCTGTCACATCAACTGACAGATTTTCTGTGAAAATGTTATTCTAAATATTTGCCCAGAATATTAAGAAAATGTTTTGATTTGAGACCTCAGTACCAACAGTGATTTTTAAAAGAAAGTGATTACGTAGTGGCACCCCCTAGAACTCCTCTTGTTTTCAGTACCTGTATAGTCTGCCCCTGATGGTCTTCTTATATCCTGCTTAAAAGTAGTAAAGGTGACACTGGATTTCCTAAAATGAGATTATTGGTAAGAAGAAAAGTTTGTATAGAGTTGAAGTCACAAGCAACTTTATTTTTTAAATGAGATTTTGTAGAGATTCAGTTAAACTGATTTCCTTCTGAAAATTCTCCAGGACAGCCATGGTAAGTGTGTCTATGCCAATATTATTCTGCATTCATAGGACTGGAAGAGGCACATTATTCATGTCCTTCTTGGACACCCACAAGGGACAGTTAAAGCTAATCCTTTTCTTTTGTCTTAGTTTCCTATTTAGAAATCGCATTTACACTGTTTTGCTGCCGAAGAAACACATACATGGAAACTAAGCAGTTAAAGGAGTTAGAACTTTTAAAAACAATAGAATTATTTAGCTTATCCAGGCCACCACCCCTTTTTCACATTTTAAAATTTGTGTTGGGGTAGAGGTGGAGTGCCATGCACTCCTGTGGCCAGAGGACAGATTGAGGTCTTCTTTCTTCACCATGTGGATTCCTGGAACTCTAGATTGTCAGGCTTGGCAGAAGGTATCTTTACCTGATGAGCCTTCTTGCTAGCCCCATCATCACTTTTAATCTGCATTTGAACCATACAAGTGGAGGGGCTACTTTAACAAGGAGAGGAGATAGAGTCACCTTGCTCAAAGAGACTATCCCAGTCATGGCCTCTGGTCATCTTCATGACCCCTAATATCAACAAACCAAATTAGAAAAACTGTTCTCTAGAGGGTACAATGTCAATCTAGTAAAGGCAAATAAGATAATAAAAATGTGGATAAAATGAGAAAACTTATGTTCAGATTTTTTTGCTGGGGACTTTGAGGTAATGAGGTCATAGTTCGTTAATGAGTATTAAGTGTTTGAGTCCCACAGAGTTAAATGTAAAATTTTGTGTACATATATTATTTCTTTGCCACAGAGTCTCTCAAATCCTCAAGGGAACCCCCTAAAAATGGTGAGTTCCTGGTTAACTTGCCTTCTGCAGGCATGGACAGAGTTCAGGAGTACTTATGAGGCTCCAAACCACACTGTCTTATTTGACATTCACTCACCAAACACAGCCATGTACATGTAAACACACATTTTACATGGATTAATTCAAGTGCAATACAAAATACCTCATTCTGGTATTTTGGTATAGTTATTAAAGTGACTTTTATCTGTCTTTATCTTCATGTGACAGCCTGAAACATCTGAAAGGTGTCTTTGCTTCATATGTACTTCTGTCAGCAGGTGCTGCTTCGAGCACTTGAATACTCTTTGCTAATCTTGTCAGCAACATTCAGAACCCTGTCATGCAGATAAAGTGAAGTGCAGCCAGGGTCCCTCCAGTTTCAGCAAGGGAAAGATGTCTACATTTTTACCTGTACAATCAACACCCATAACCCTGAAGATACCATAAAAGACAGTTGAAGAAGCCTGGAGCTGACCTTCTGAAGTGGTCTCCACTCTCCAGAGAGGCTGGATCAGGCCCAGACTGACTTGCTTACGGCTGTGGGAATGGTGCTGGACCAACGCTGTCATTGCCAACACTGTGATCCTGTATTTAGAATCTCTTACAGGAATGTTTGAATAGCCCTGGCTGTTCACTTGAGTAGAACTAGACCAGGCAGCTGTAATATGGCAAGCAAGGCAGGGCAGGTTCCCCCCCCCCCCTCTGGAAAGTACTGCTATTGTGTAGAACCTTGACCTGTAGAGGTTCTCATGTATTCCAACTCTGCTCTTTCAGACAGTACTATGCTTACCTCACTGACACGCAGTGCAAGCGCGTTGGGACACAGTGCTGGGTGTTTGGGTGAGTATCTGTGATTGTAGGGGTTTCAGAACCATTTGAGCCCCTAAATTTCATAGAATATTTCTTAAGAGTCTTCTAGTGTAATTCCCCATCAAGGATGTTGATCAAGTTCAGAAACTATTTCTTGAAGAACTCATAGTCCTTGTTTTACAAAATGAATTAGATCCAGTATGGATCAGTTGAATTCCTCTGAACATATTTGAGTTTGGGACATCGTCTTGTCCTGGGCTGAGCCACACCTCATGTTATTTCAACCTTAGAAGGTCTCTGTGAAAGAACTTAATGCATCCCAAAGTATAATTGTATTGCTCCAAGAATTAACACAGCCACCTGGTTACAAATTGTGGGTACAAATGTTGTTAGTTAATATACTGTTGACTATTTCATACTCCTATTTCCCCTTCAAACCCTCTTATGATTGAGCCTCTTTTCTGTGTGTCAGGTAAGTCATTCTGCTGCTTAAACACCAAGGATCTTTTTTCACATCCAGAGTTCAAGAGGGATCTGGGTAAATCTATATAGGAAGAAGAGTCCCTGAGGTAGGAGGTAGCCTAGGTTCAAGATCTAATCTGCATTCTAAATTGAATGTGACAGTTTAGAATAAATTGCTTCAGGCAGAGTTAGTAATCAGTGCAAACTTGGTTAAAATAAAGAAGCTGTCATGCGAAGATGATCCAGAGATGATTGTTTTGATTTTTGCCTTCCTTCCCAAATTCTCCTTTGTATGTATAAACATGTCACTAGGAGATTCTCTGTGGTTTTAAAGAATAAAAATGTAGATATTCAAGTTAGAATTCAGTAAGTTCTTCTCCACACACACATAAACACATCCGCCCCCTAATCCCAGGAGACAAAGGGCCATTGTCACCCGTTTCTTCTGAGTCAGTGGATAAGCCTGTTTTTCTGCCTAGGTGATTGCAGCTTCAAGAGTGATCAGGCGGATTAAGTTTCCTTTGTTTAGTGCTATATGGGAAGGAGAATTCCCATTTCTAAGATTCTGGTGTACTCTGACAGAGGATGTCCTTTGATGTCATGTGGTCATGTTTAGTTCTGGAAAGGAGGGGTGTTAGCAGTTCCTTCCCATGTTAATTGAAGGAATCTTTCCAGCCATGAGCTCTTTCCTCTCAGTTAGGAATTCCCTCTGCCCGCCATGTAAAGTTTTTTCTTCATGTTTAAGAGTCTTCAACAAAGATCTTCTCCATAGATGTGTATCAGTTTACTAATGGAAGGAGACATGGGTCAGACAGGTGGTGCTGTGACATTTTCCTTCCAATTGCATATCCAAGAAATATAGTCCAAGTGAATAGGAGAAACAGCAGAGTCAACAAGGCTAAGCATGGCAGAAAGCACTGTGATAGAAAGTTGTACCTTACTGGACAGTGATTAAAATTGAGTTCCAGGGTCTAGAGCAGTAGTTCTCAACCTTTCCATCATAGCCCCTTTAGGAAGAGCAAATGACCCTTTCACAGGGTTTGCAATCAGATTACTGCATATCAGATATATACCATTCATAACAGTAGCAAAATTACAGTGGCAATAATTTTATGGTTGGAACTATATTAAAGAGTTACAGCATTAGGAAGAGAGAGTTCATCATTTAAGAGCAGATGGGGTACTGCTTGACTCAGATGAGCATTGACCCAGACTTTAGTTGTGCTAAAATTGGTGGCACATATTTTGCCAGGCCATGAGGATTGTCCTCTGCCCAAACTGGAGGAATTTCCTGGATCAGCAACTTTTTCCATTCCCTTCTAGGGAATGGTTTGGATTTTGCAGGTGAAGATATTCCTCACTTACAGGGTAGGCTATAGTTAAAAGCCGTAGTCTCAATTGCAACCTAGGAGAGTCTCCTAAGAATGACATTGTTGTCTGAAAATTGTTCAAGAGGTCCTGCCCCTATAAAGGGTAGGGACACTCAGAAATAACAATACAAGAATGAGTCGCAGTTCCTTCTCCTACGTTAACAGTCCAGTTGGTGGTTCATTTATATTCTTTGGTATCCTATGTTGCGCCTTTTACTTTTGTTGTTTGGTAGGTAAGGGGATCTAGAAGCTCCCATAATACTGAATGCATACCCCCTATCCAATCAGAAAATTTACAGGTTACCCCGAATGATGAAGGTTACAATTAATTTCTCTAATTGATTCTGTATTTTCAATGATCTCCCCATGTGGGATGACAGTCAGCAGATTTTCCACACCCTTTTCACTCCTGAAGAAATGGAATAGGTTCTCACAAAAGCAGCTGAAGTACTCCCTGGAAGGCAATTGACCATGCTCTGCCAAGACAGAAACCCATATTTCTGGGTAGCAGATGCGAAACAGGACCCCGATGAATCATTTTCAGCTTTCCTGGATGTCCTGAACACCTGTCAGTTATCCAGTCCTATAGACCCAGAGGACCTGGCAAATCAAGGCAATTATCCTGGCCTTTGTTGCTCAGTCGGTCCCTGACATGCATAGAAAGATACAGAAAATGGATGGGTTTGCAGGAAAGAACAGGTCAGAACTATTAGAGATAGCTCTAAAGATGATAGCAAAGACAGCAAAGTTCTTTTAATAAAGAAGATGGGGTATCCCACTGTGGCTGCATGACAAGCCCCAGCCATTTTAAACTCTACCCATGCATGCCACGGTAAAAAGAGGAGATCTTTACAAAAGGACCAATGTGCCTACTGCAAAGAAATGAATCACTGGAAAAATGAATGCCCATGCTGGAAACAGGCGGTTTCCCCCCAAACCCAAGCCAATCATAGTTATAGAAGATTAGTGAGGCTAAGACTTCTTTGAATTAGGCCCCTGGGTGGGTTTGATTCTTATCACCCACACCAACTATAACTCCAGTCCCCGGGGAATTCGATGACCTTTTCTGGTCTCCATAGGCATGGGTATACATACAGGCAAAACACCTATATGTATAAAATAAAAATGAAGGAAAAATAAAGTAAAAATGAAGCAGAATGGAAAACCACCAAAGTAGGTGTCAAAGGAAAATTATAATTTAGTTAAAGATCTTAATTGCTCTTCTTTTGTAGAATTGGGGAATACTTACTCTGTAAAGTAGAACAAATGCAGTAAATTGAGGAGTATAGACTCATTTTAGTGGAGATTAAAGGGTGGGGAGAAAGCAGAAACAAAGAATAGAATGATTATCTCACAGCATTATGCCCCTTTAAGATAAAGATAAGGAAACAGAATCATAAACAAATATTTACTGTTGACATTAGGTTGCTTCAGTTTGCCTTCCTTATAGGGTTAGGTAGAAAGAACTTCCGTATGCCTATGAAATTGGCCTATTTGGCACATTTTACAATTTTGTAATCTCTAGTTCCAGTTTCTTAAATCAGATAAATACCTTGGTTTCTACTTGGTTACAGAAAACTTCTTTGACTGACTTTTAACCTGCTCTACTGGGACCTGAGACAAGAGCTTAGTTGAAAACAAAGGCCTCCTGTAATTTTTGTTTAATGAGGGTTACAGTTATTTTTATGAGACTTGTGTTTAAATGTGTGTGTGTGTGTGTGTGTGTGTGAGAGAGAGAGAGAGAGAGAGAGAGTGAAAATGAAGTGGTTTGTTGCCAGCACTAATTGGCTGTGACCGAAAAAACATTTTAAAGGAGAAGGGTTTCCTCTGGCTCATACTTTGAGGGTGCAGTCTATCATGCTGGGGAAGGCAGATATAGAGCCCATCAAGGCGGCAGCTCGCGTCTCTGTGGACTAGGAAGCAGAAAGAGGACATGAAGTGGAACTAGCTGTAAATCTCAAGGCTTGTCTCCTAGAGGTCCACTTCCTCTAGTGAGGTTCTGTCTCCTAATGGTTCCATATTCTCCCAAAACAGCACTACCATCTAGAGACCAAGTATTAATATGTAAACATGAGCTTCTTGAGGGGGGGACATTTCACATGTAAACCATAACAGTGTGCTTTTTGAAAAGAAACTTTAATTTAAGTGAACAATCAGAACTCTCATGCCATGCTCAGTTTGGATGACTGACGTGAAGATACTCATACTTGGGTCCTAGACTCAGCCTTGTTTATTGTTCCAGCAAAAGAGTGACTCTTATTAGCACTGCAGGCTCAAGCTGCCATCCAGTGTGAGATCATGGCCTAGACTTCAAGATTGGCATGCTAACTATTTTGTAAGAATTTATGAGTTTAAATGATTCTTAAGCTTGGGATTTTGGTGGTGGTGGTAATTAAGGAGCAGTGGTCTCCAATATTTCCAGACGGCTACTATTTAACTTTGGGCACAGATAAAAAAGAGAGAGCCCCAAACTTTAGAAGTTAGTATCATTTTCTCTGCTTTTCTGAAGTGAGTCTAATTGCAAACAGTCTGCTTGGAACCAGCCATGTATTTGATGATGGCTTTGATTTTTGTCTGCTAGTGGACAGGGAGACCAAGGTACTCACTCAACAATAATTGATTGTCTGAATTCTGTTCCAAGCATACACTCTCTAACGTGGCACTATTCAACATCTGTATTCTTCAGCCATCTTTCTAGCCCAACTTGTAACTCTCACCTCATCCATTCTTATCTTCAACCTCTGAGCCTTAATAAAGGCCTATTACTTTTCTTTAATGTTTTAGTTAAATGGAAATCATGAATTAGTGTGTGTGTGTTAACATTTTTTTTGTTCTTAGCAAAATTGCTTAAATTAAGAGAGGATAAAAGGTTATATTGTCAGTAAAACAAAGGACAATCATGAAACTCTTGAAAGACTAGGAGAGAATATGGTTGATTCCTTCAAATATTAATAGACTCCATTGGAGGGCTCTCATGCTCCCTGTGTATAGACAGCAAGTGAAGGGTAGAGAAGGCAGTTTCTAACCCACAACAACCAACTCTGTAGCTGCTGAACTCTGACAAAAAACTGAACCCCCTCTCAAAGATAGTAGATTTTCTGTGCTTCAGAGGGTCCCCTCTCTGGTGATGCTGGCTGTTTGTAGATTTTAAAAACCAATGAGTCAAGATTTTAGAGAAAAGAAGAGGGGGAAAATATTTTCAGAAAAAAGTGTGGTGGGGAGGAACTATGTCAATTTGTACAGTACCTGCTACCAGTGTCTGGAGCAGAAAGCTTGACCATTGACTTTGTGACTCATATGTTGCATGTTTCTGGCAATGGATACGTTCTAATAAGGCAAACTAACATAGAATTTCTTGTTTCTTGTCTGCTTAGGGTCATTGGTTTCTTGGAAGCTATTGTTTGCATAAAATTTGGACAAGATCTCTTCTCTAAGACCCAGATACTCTATGTTGTATTTTGGCTTCTTTGTGTGGTAAGTTATTAATCTCACACCCCAAACTGTTAACTAAACTCTCTAACTGTCTCTAAGGAAACTGAAATTAAAAAAAAAATTAGATTCTGTTGCACACAAGGTTTTCTTAGAAGTTTATAGACATTTTCTTAATAACTTAAGATTGGACACTAAAGTTTGACTAAAATATAGCCATATTGCAGTTGAAGTGGGTCACCTTGGCCATTTCCAAATAGATGCCTCAGAAGGTACACCACCTATGTGATTACTTTGTTTCTGGGAATGTGTCTACATGAGGTGAACCTGTGTGGACTTTGAGGCAGCAACAAGGACAATTTCCATGCCCTCTCCTTCATTCTGTCACTGTGGCTAAAACATACATGTCATTATACATGGGTTTTATACAACGTGGCATCGCAGAGTGGTTTTGGAAGCAATCAGACCACAGGTGTTCTGCTTTGTAGGCCACATTTCTACCCCAGAGAGGGACCCACTCTGAAGAGAGGAGCCCAGCAGAGCGTCAGCCCAGAGCTCCATCTGTTTATTTCTGTCCTTTACTCTCACCTTTGAAATCGAAGTGTTGGAAATTTAGGTAGCTTAATTGTATTCAGGTCTTGTGCAGAAACCACAGATGGCGTGAATTAATGAGTTCAGTGGTCTCATCGTGTCTAGAAGACACTGTTTCATCCAGGCTTCCCTGACCTTACTTCATATTTTTATTTCTTTCCATTGTTACTCACCCATCCCAAGTCGCTGTCATACCTGTCATGCCTCTTGCTCTGTAGCATTTCCTTATGTCTTTAGCGCACCCTCCCTTGCAGTTTGAGGGAGAAAGCAGCTCTTCTGTCCTATAGATTTCTTACTGTCTTATCACCTTCATCCTGTCCTGTAATTAGCACACATCCTTGATTTTCTGTAAGGTGTTTTTGTTTTGTTTTATTTTGTTTGTTACTTTCGCTATATCTGTTTTTAGAGTTGAAGGTTAGAAATTCTAACTACACTAGCACCTTATATCTTGTTCTCCCCTTCTTGATCTTGAGCAGTAACAGGGAGTGAGTATCTCCAATTTAATTAAAATACAGAATTAATAATTAATTGATTAAAGTACAGAATTAATTGTATTTTTCTATCCTAGTAAGATTAGAAGAAAGAGTGAGTTGGGGATATTAGGTGTATGTAATGTTTTGTTTCTGATCTCCTTGGATTGTTCTCTGATATGGTCGCTTCAGGTTTGGATTGGAATATGTCCTGCATGCATGGGTAGAGGGCTGCTCACCTTAACTGGAAAGCCCTGGGACCACAGCAAGGATAAGCCAGAGTACCCCCCAGAAGTGATAGAGGATACTTCTTACCACAGTGCATGGGGCCAGCCAGTCAGCATGTCATACCTGGCTATTGTAGTCCTAACCTATGTATTGGAGTTGATTTTGTTTATATCTGCATCTACAACATTTTTCTTTGTGAGTATAAATAAGCTTAATCATTCTTTTGCTACCACTGTCATGAGTACAAAATCTGGTATCAGGTTTCTCAGGAATCTCAGTGAGTGTGTATATAAAGTATGTAAACTTGGAGCGGCAAAGACTAGGCATATCCAGATCAAGGGATCAGCTTGAGTAGACATGGAACTGGGAAAGGAAAGAAGGAACATTTGTAAATGGAGAATGCACTTTCGTTTCCCAGCCACCAAGAACCAAATAATCACACAAAATCTATATTAATTACAACACTGTTTGGCCAATGGCTCAGGCTTATTCCTAGCCAGCTCTTACATCTTAAATTAACCCATTTCTATTATTTTATATTTTACCATGAGGCTCGTGGTTTGTTACCTCACATCTTGCTTCTTGGGTGACTACGTGGTGTCTCCCTGGTTCTGCCTTCTTTCTTCCTCCATTCAATTTAGTTTTCCTGCCTAGCTATATTGTGCCGTTCCATAGGCCAAAGCAGCTCCTTTATTAACCAGTGAAAAAAAAACAAAAAAAAAAAAAAGAACCCAAACTTATTCATAGCATACAGAGTGGAATCCCACATCAAACACTAAAGAGGATAGGAGTTTCATGTATAGGAAGGTCTATGCATACTTGTGTTGATGGATGAGGGCCTTGCTCATCCCGGCTGCTGGCTAGCTTACACCTGAAATAACCACACAGAAAATGTATTAATCAAATCATTGCTTGGCCCATTAGTTAGCCTCTTATTGGCTAACTCTCACATCTTGATTTACCCATTTCTATTAATCTGTATATCTCCACAAGGCCGTGGCCTACCAGGAAAGATTCAGCATGTCTGTCTCTGGCAGCTCCATGGCAGCTCTCTCTGACCCTGTTTTCTTCCTCCCAGAATTCAGTTCTGTTTTCTCCACCTGCCTAAGTTCTGCCCTATCAACTAGGCCAAGGCAGTTTTCTTTATTCATTAACCAATGAAAGCAACATATAGACCTCATACACCATACTTGTAGTTGGGTCTTCTAGGATTTATAAATGAGAAAAGAATGTGATTTGATTTTTGTCACAGAGAAACACTGTGCAGGATGGAGTCTTGAGGAAGGATGTTAAATTAGAGTATGTTGCTAGGTCCTATTTGAAAAGTGACAGGTGGAAGCGAAGCAGAGACATTAAGAGCAAGGAAAGGACTAGTTGGTTTGTTAATTGTCCTGGAGACAATTGTATAGGACACTTGCCCTGTAATTACCCTGGGGTTTCTGGATTGGGTAGTAACAGGCCAGGGCACATGAGAGCAGCCTCTAACAACAGTTCTGAGTTGAGGTGAAATTTACAGATGAAAGTATCTTATCTCATTGTCTGCCTCACTGAAATTTTCATCTGCTCAGTAACATTGGAAAAGGCTTGCTCAGGGGTGGGCTGAGCCAAGCTGTACCTATGTAGGACTAGGAGATACCATGAGATTATAGGAAGAGTTAGAAGACACTCTACAGGAACTTGAGATGCTGCCTAAAGATGGGATTCCATGGAGCAGGTGGATTGAAGAGGCCAAGTAGAGCTTATATAACAGCCATAAGATGACAGTGAGACTCTGAAGACAGGCAGAGTCCCTGATTGACAAGATCAAGTATGGCAGGCAATAAGAGTACTCAGCTTGAAAAGCAACCAATAAGCTAGTCAGCTTCCATTCCTGTAACAAATATCTGAGATCAGTTAAAAGAGAAAGGTTTATTAGTCTTTTGGGGGCTTCTGTCTACGTCATTTATCCCCATGGTGTAAGCACAGTAAGAACAAAGAAAAAAGAAATCTGGCCTCATAGCCAGATGTGTAAGAAAGGGTTCTGGCCTATTCCTTTGTCAGCCACACTTGCTGAGTATCCTCTGAAGTCAGTGTCCTTCTGAGATCTCAAAAGAAGGGAGTCTCAGTTCTCCAATCGTCTGCCCCCTTCTTTACCAAAGAGGTTGCAATAGAGGCATGGTAGCAAGAGAAATATGAAACCTAATCCATACACACGATAGAGTTTTGAAGAATGTGAAGGAGAGATTCATCAGCACCTTTAAGAGTAGCCCTCTGTGACCTAAGACCTCCTGTGTTCTGCCATTTAGAGGTTCCTACCACTTCCCAGTTCCAACAAGCTGTGAGCCAAGGCTAACATGGACCTCTAGGATTCAAGACCCAAAGCATAGCAAGTTCCACTGCCTTGCATGTTTCACAACCAAAAAGAATGGAAATAAGATCCCAAGACTTTTCATACCAAGGCCTTTACTTCTCCCTCTCAGAAGTGAGACAATTGTTATTCAATAAGAGAGCAGTAGGTTACACAGTGGCTACCATAGTACTCAAGAAACAAAGGCCCTAATTCTTTCCTCTGCTTGGCAAGGCACCACACACAGAGTTTGAGATTAATGTGGAAGCCAGCAACTCATGTGCTGGCTAATGAAGCTGTTGAATAATCATCATATATTTTAATGTTCATTACCATACTGTAAAGCCAAGATGGATTCTGCATGCTCACTAATGCTGCATCCACGGGCACAGACTCACAGTTTTCTATTCTCCCTCATCCCTCTTTAAACAAAATCTATGCAATTACTATTTTAAATCTGGATCTTGACATTTTAAGTGGGTACTTGCCTACATTTCCACAGGTATGCAAACCCATAAATTATAAGCTTTTGTGTCCTGAACCAAGTAGAATATAGGCCTCTTGTACTAGGTGAAGTGGTAGATTTGGCAACCCCATTAGGCCCTCTGTGTGGTGGAAAATGGCACCTTTCCTTTGCCACCTGTCTGTTTTTGCCTGGTCCTTCTGCAGAACCAGCTCTGTCTGCTGTTTCTGGTTGGAGAAAGCCCCAGCTACAGCCTGAAGGCACAAGCTTGGAGATAAGAAATTCAAGATCTTGCACACCTGCCCTCTGGTGGTCAGAATGTGCAATAGCAGGCCAGTGGAGGTGTTGCTGTCCTCCTCCCAGGATCATTCTACAGCCAGTTCTTTGGGAAGAATTGCCTAAACTCCCTCTCCCAGTGTGAAGCTTGGGACATCCTGTTGTGCCCTTGTAAAAATCCTAACACAATGGAGGTTCACACGTGGTTATACATTTCTGCTTGTTGCTATTTTTTCCCTTCCATGAGAAATGGCAAACATTGGAGCACAGGACTGAAATCTCAAGGTCCAAATCAGGAGCAGAAGGAGAGAGAGCATGAGCAAGGAACTCAGGACAGCGAGGGGTGCACCCACACACTGAGACAATGGGGATGTTTGGCCTGGCCTGGGTCTGAAAAAGCCTGGGTTAAAACCAGTCTCGCTGAACATAGCGGAAAATGAGGACTACTGAGACCTCAAGAACAATGGCAATGGGTTTTTGATCCTACTGCACGTATTGGCTTTGTGGGAGCCTAGGCAGTTTGGATGCTCACCTTACTAGACCTGGATGGAGGTGGGTGGTCCTTGGACTTCCCACAGGTCAGGGAACCCTGATTGCTCTTTGGGCTGACGAGGGAGGGGGACTTGATTGGGGGAGGGGGAGGAAAAGGGGAGGCGGCGGTGGGGAAGAGACAGAAATCCTTAATAAATAAATAAATAAAAAAAATTTGAGCAAGTATTAGAATATGTTGGAGGTTAGAAGTCGTTTACATCTTATAACTGCAGTATATTCATTCAGGGCCTAGTTTTTGTTGTGAGGGAATGAGAACTTCTCTTTAAAACCCATCATTGTAGAGAGCTGCTAGTGTGCATGTGGACTGGGTTTTGTGCCGTCAGTCACCATGCCTCGCACAGCCAACTCAAGCACTGAGGTGCCTTTCTTTTGGGTTTGTAGGAGAATACTGACTTCAGAGACTTAGCAAATGTTGAGACATGAAGGAATGAGCTAGAGCTTAGGCTCCAATCAGTAGGGGATAGGGTTACAATTCTGCTGCTCTTGCTTGTCTGCTTTTCACCTACCATTATGTGTCTTTTCAGGGTGGGTGAGGCTGGCGTCTGATAATCTCTGATGCCTTGGTTTCCTCAGAGGATGGAGGCGATCTATGGAGGGATCTCAGTAGAAAGATGTAAAACATAAAAACAGTATCTTATTAGATCAGTTATATCTTTAAAACTTGGACTTGGTCTATCAAGAAACCTATGTTCTGACTCCAGCGTTTCCCCACATCACGAGAGTCCCTGGAAGGCATTCACCTCTCTGTGCTTTTTTTCCCTTTTTGTTAATGTGGGAAGATTAAGACTCTCTGAAGTGCCCTTCTAGATCTAAAGCTCTCATTCTCAAAAAGAACTAAAATTATTCTGCTAGGAAGAGAAGGTCCTGCCATGATTTCAGACCTGTCCCCTTGGTTGAGATGAGGTGATAGCTAATAACATGCCCGAGTGTCCATAGGAAATAGTGTGAGCTCTCTGGGCATTAGGAATGGCTGAGTAGTAAAAGTGTTCTGGAGAGCAGGCTGTTTTTTGTTTGGTTGCTTTTGTTTTCTGCACTTTCTGGTCCCTCCTGGCCCCCCTCATACCCATTTTCTGCTGACCCTCTTGTTCCCTTTGCCCTTTGCTACTCAGTCTGGGCAGCCAAAGACTTTTCCTAAACTTAGTTTTTTTGACACATTTTGAAAATTTGGACTCTCAATATCCGTGAGAGATGGGTTCCATGCCCCCACCCTTGGGATACACAAATCCAGTAGCTATTAATTCCTACATTCTCAATGTTTGCAAAGTGTATGCCTGCCCTCCTATAGCATTTAAATCATACGTAGATAAAACATAAATACTGTATAATTTGTTTTTTAGGGAATGATGATGAGTATTTAAAAACGTTTATGTTTGGTACAAATACATTTTCTTTTCTCAAAATATTTTTGAATCAGTTTGTTGACTCCGAGGATGGGAAACTGCATGCTAATTATCTGTGCTTTCGTTCTTTCACTGTTTTATTTAAGGTGTAGCACTGGCTTGGTGAACAGTCAAGGTTGAGGTAGAGATGCCTGGCTTCTGGGTAGCCACTCATCTCACTCAGGCTGTTACAAAGTATTTTCAGTTTCTTTGTTTTCCTATCTACAAAAGCAACAGGGATCAGAGTGAGGAAACTGGCACCAAAAAGCCAGGGCTGTAAGTACAGCATTGTTGCTCTTGCTAGGTAGTAGGGATGCCTTCCCAGGCCTTGTTATGATGAGGCTGAATGAGGCTTTTCCATCCAGAAGTTTTCTTTCTTAAGCTGAGTTTCTGGACTTGCTGGGTAGAGCTACGTGTCTGGTATCACCATAGCCCGTCTTACAAATGGAGTAGATATGGCCTGCCCAACCCCAGTCCACCAAGCCTGTTCATGCTCTTCCCAGTCTCATCTCTGCCACATCCAACCATTGTGAAGCCTTGACCTGAAGACAGATGGCAGAAAGGCACTGAACTATCTTCTGGATTCTTCCAGAAACCCAATTTCTGGGAAGTGAATTATGTGCACTGTTATTTATAAAGGGGCATTGCGTTTTCTCTCTTCCAGGCCTTCACCACGTTCCTGTGTCTGTACGGCATGGTTTGGTATGCAGAGCACTATGGCCACCGGGAAAAGGTAGAGGAGGAAAAGACTTGACTTCATCTAAAAGACCCAGCGGGTAGCCCAGACACTCAGAAGGAAATAAATAGCATAGCAGCCTCAGGGAGTGATGTCAGTCCTGCCATAGAGAAACTTAACATGTCAGAATGTGCCCTTGCTACACAGCTGTGCTTGCTTGTAGCTGCCATGCCTCATCAGTATTTTTATCCTCCTATTGCAAGGTGTTTAAATCTTAGTTATTTAAATCAAATTTTAAAAATTAGCTAAAACAAATGTAGAAATGAGAAACCCCTGAACCCATTCTCGAGGTTGTCTTATATTCTGGCTCTTTTGCTGCTTCAGGCCTTTTTATATGTCCCAGTCCAGGCTCCCCACCTGCACTGCCTGCCCCTTACAGTTAGAGACTGATTTGAGTGAGTTTTAACACTAGAGTAGTCCTGGGTATTATTGTATGTGGGGTGCGTGTGTTGGTTGGTTGTTGGTGTGTGGGTTTATTTATGTGTTCAGGAGGATGTGGGTGGGGGAGATATTTTGTGGAGGCCACAGGCTAACGTCAGACATCATCAGATATCATTTTTCTCTGTGCACTTGTCCACTTTTTTTTAGGCCCTTTCACTAGTTATAATAAGCATGAAACACTCTGCCAGGCTTTTTAATTTGTGTTCTAGAGACTGAACTTAGGTGTCAGACTTTTACAGAAAACACCTTCCTGACTTAGCTATCTCTCCAACCCTCTCTTTGTTTAAATAAAGATAAAGTCATCCTTTATTCATAAGTTTGAGCTTGGATGTCTGTGTATGTATGTGTTATTATAGTCAAACCCAGGGCCTTGCCCGTGCTGTATTGTAGCCTCAGAGCTCATGCTCTCTAGAAGGTTGCTTCTGTGTGGGTTTCTAGCTGGGAAATACAGGATGAATCTTTGTCACACTCAGCCAGGGTTCACTTTTTTTTTTCATCCTGCCATTCCTCTCAGGACTGACCTAAAGTTTACTCACTAAGCCTGTGTCTCTCTCTAGACCTACTCAGAGTGTGAAGATGGTACTTACAGTCCAGAGATCTCCTGGCATCATGGGAAAGGCTCAAAAGGTAACAACTGTCTTGCCCATTGTTTAAAGCGTTGTTGAGTCATCTATACCCTCAGACTTACTGTGGAGATTTGGGGTCAGTATTCATCTCCTGAACTTCAGTGAGAAGTCTCAAATCTACTTATCAAATCTCACCTGCCACTTACTAAGAAACACAGTTTTCACAGACTCTGTCCAGACGGTTGCTTTGTGAGATGAGTTTCCACACTGGGTTCTGCTTTTCTCAGGCAGGAAGGCAGGGGACTTCAAGCTCCATAATGGGAGCGCTCTCTCTCTCTCTCTCTCTCTCTCTCTCTCTCTCTCTCTCTCTCTCTCTCTCTCACTCCCACCCTCCCTCCCTCCCTCCCTCCCTCCCTCCCTCCCTCAGCTTTCAAAGTAAGTGAAAATGCTTAGAGAGGGCTATGTGCCCCTGAGAAAGGGCCTTTCAGACTGACCTTATCTGGTTCCATCCAATTACATATCAGCCCTGGGCACTTCTGGTTCTCCAGTAGAAAGAATTCATGAGTGGAAGATATTCTGCTTATGAAGAACGGTTTTAAGAAAAAAAGAAAGAAAAGAAAAACAGTTCAGGTTCAGAAAAGTTTGTAGTGTGACAAATGCAGACAGGACTCTGGGCCTTTGGGGAATGGAGTAAGTCTTTGTTAAATATTTCTCATGGAACTGAACCATAACTCTGGGGGAGAGGGCAGAGGGCAGTTAGACTTAGCCACTGGTGTAGGGACTGGCCACAGGCTCTCTCAGAGGAAAGAGTCAACTCCGTGTTACAGTGTCACCTCAGGCTTTCATTCACAAGCAGCAGGTACCTGACTTGTAAAGATGTTGATATCTCTGCTAATAATTTTAATTTAATGAAGTCAAGAATCTTTTCCGACTGAGAGCTTACAAAGCCTATTTAACAATTCAGTGTGTACAACTTGGGGGAATCTGTACAGTTGTTGTAAGCATAAGATGAATACTGATGTTGCTGAAACTTTTATAATTGTCCCTGTTTGGGCTTTCATTTGTACTCTCAATTCTGGTCCTCATGACTGTGCTGTGTCCAGTCTATTTTACTATTTTACATACTGCCAGAATAAAAGTTCCTCAGGACCCAGGTCTTGGGGGGGGGGGCAGTTAATTTATTGATGAGGCCACTAGAGGGAGAGCAAGTGTTAGGTAAGAGCTGGCTTCTAGACAACAGGCTAGGGAAAGCTAGAAAGGGAGAACCACAGATCTCAGGAACCAGCAGCAAAACGCAGAGGTCCCTAGTGATGGTGTGTTGGCTTCCTTTGGACAGGTTCTGAAGACAGCCCACCCAAGCATTCAAGCAACAATGAAAGCCATTCTTCCAGAAGAAGGAACCGGCATTCCAAGTCCAAAGTCACCAATGGAGTTGGAAAGAAATGAAGGAACCTAGTTAATCTCAGATGTTCCAGAGAGTGCCTAGACATGAGAGGGCAACAAAACACACTCAGACCTTCCTATGTGGAGATCAAAATGTACAGAACTTACAGAAGGAACAGAAGGGACTTTGGGGATCATGATTTGAGAGTGTAAGTCTTGTCTCCCATTGCCCTGAACACACGTTAGACTGGCCATGGCTTGGGGTACTTTGCCTACAGGAGGTGTCTTCTAACTTCAGCACATGCTGTTTGGTTGCTGATCTCTATACAGTGTGCTGGGAGCACAGGAGAGCTGTTTGCTCCTGGTTGCCAGCAATGGCTCTATGCTCATGTGTCTTGTGGACGCTGTATAAATAACTTCGTTCAGATGCCGACTTAACCAACTGGTTAATGAACTGCTCACTGGGTTTTATTTTTATGAATCTGCCTTTCCATTTGACTGATTAAGTTCACTTTGCTTTTTTTTATCTTTTATTTCATGTTTCAAGTTAGAATGTTTAAAAGCTTCCAGAATCCACTGCTGAAATTGGGGTTCCTTCTAGAGAAAGGGTGGGGGGAGCTTTTGGGTCCCTACTTAGCATACTCAGTCCCTAGCCACATGACAGATGACTAGCAGTCTAAGTTGGAAGGAGGCTGACTGCTTGTACTGGAGCCTGAGCTTTGGAGTGGAACCTGTTCTGTTCCATTCCAAACACTGTCCAGCCCGAGTGTACAAAAACGACCCTGCTGCAGGAGCTGGGGCACTGTGGCTCCTCTCCTGCCAGGTGCCTTTCCCGTGTGCTTGTGTTCCTTCTGTGGTGTGTTGCCTACTTTGTCTTTCTGTCTCATGTGAGGTGCTAGTGAGTCTTAACTTTGATCTGTGCCATGCTCTCCTAGAACATTCTCCCACCCTGGATCCTTGTTTTAAATAAATCAATTCACATGAAAAACCTCAAATATCTGTCTGTTAAAATGGCATTTCTTCATACCTTTTTGATCTTTGAACTGTTTATAAGCAACCTCATATTTTACAATTGACTTTGGGTTAATAAATATGTGTGTGTTTTATAGGTTGAAAAGAAAAAGAAACAATATTTTAAAAGGGCTTATAAGTATATGTCCTAGTCTGAATGTTCCAGAGTGATCCACAGGAAGTGTAGCCATTGTCTGTCCCTATGGTCATGCTTATTAAGTTGGGTTTTCTTTCTCAAACAAGTGGCCTGCACAGATACAGACTTGCTAGCCCTTTCCCTTTTCCCTGGAGCACAATGATCTTTTTGTCTTTGCCCCTCTTAAAAGAAAATTTTGAACTATAAAAGTTAGGTAGACTACTTGCACTGGAACCTGAGCTTCGGAGTGGAACCTGTTCTGGTCCATTCCAAACACTGTTTGTCCAGCCAAAGTGTACAAAAGTGACCCTGCTAGAGGAGCAGGTCTAGAAATTTGTATCTGTCTTACAGATTCTATGGCATGTCGTAGAAACTATAAGGGTTTCCAAGTCCATTTTCCAGGAGAGTTTCCTTCTTTTAAAAAAGAATTCCCTGATGAGAGGGTTAAATGAATCATGAACAGGCAGGGTCACAGTCAGTGCTCTGGGTGACAACTTGATTTAGAGTTACCCACAGACTTACCTCTTCAGCCAAACATGTCCTGAGAAGAGCATCAGCAGCAACTGGCCCACACTGGGAGTCCAGGGCAGGCCATAACTCTCAGCTTCCTCACCAAGTCCCATGAATGTGTTTAAAGTGGGACAAAGCATTGCATGCTGCATATACTACCTGTCATTTCCCATCCCTTGTTTTCACAGTTCTGGAATTGATCCCAGGGCCTCCTGTGTGCCAGACAAGAGCTCTGCTGCTGAGCTTTGGCTTTCTTGCATTCCGTTTAACAAGCTTTTGCAAACATGGTATGACTTTAAAACATCACTTTGCTTTGCAAGTAGGTGAGTTTGTTTTGTGTCTGTGCAATTTTGATGAGTCCAAAAATTTGTATCTGAGTTGCCAAGTCCATTTTCCAGGAGAGTTTGGTCTGATATTGTAGGACTCATCTAGTAGTTGGCTCAGCCTCTCCAAAGGGGCACATGCCCTTTTTTTTTTTTTTTTACAACCAGACAGTAAAGTGCCTGTGGAGTTAGTTGGTGGTGAATTTGACATTGCTGTGGTATGCACAAGAACCAAAGTACACATGAGGCAGTGTTTCCTCTCTGGTTTTGTAGGAAACAGCTAGGAAAGCACATTGAGTTCAAAGTTTCTTTTTCCTCTTTGAGCAAGTGCTCTTAGCTGCTGTATTGGCCAAACCAACACTTTCTGTGTCTGTGTTATTTGTCTACACCACACCACTGGTCTTAGCCTACATTTCCACCCATCTCTGGAAATTGATCCCAGGTTGATGCAAGTAGAATACATGTTCCAGAGGCATTCTTCATGGAGTGGTAACTGTTTCGTCACCTCATGAACCACTTGGCAGATGGCTGTCTTTAAAGATACCACTGTTGAGGGTGTAGAGCAGGAGGAAATTTGTGTCTTTCACCCTAATTAACATTGTACTGAGTGGCAGACCCTCTCACTTTTATCATCCTTGATCCCACCGACCTCTCTTCCTTCCCTCTTGTTCCTTTCACCGCTCATAAAGAAGCCTTGACCCATCCTCAGATATGTTACTGCCCTGTTGAGCATTTCGAAGATACCCAACATCTGGTAAATGACAGTCTTCTCTAGGATTACCTCTGTGGTAAACTTGGACTTCAAGTTCTCACCCAAGAAAATAAAATTGGTTACATCAGTCCCGCCTTCCTGGTCCCCACTCAGAAGGCACTTGCCTCAGAGCATTCTGAGAAATGTTTCCTGCTCTGTTAAGGCCTGCATTTTGGAATTGGATTTCTAGAATATATGGGGTAAACTGTGCATTTCGAGGTCCTCACCTAGAGTGACTAGGAGGGAAGCTGAGCAGAGAGGAGGCTTACTGCTAGATAGGAAATAAGTGGGGACTTTGGGCGCACACTGCAGTCAAGCCTCTGAACACTGTGTTAACATCCATTGGCTGTGCTCAGTGGCTCTCATAGGACTACTGGGCTGACCACAGTGTTTACCAGGTGAGCGTGACTTAAACATTCAGAAAGTCCACAGGTAGACTCTTGTGCCTGCATATTTCTTATTTCTGTAATGGAAAAAGACCTCTGGCTCCTGCATCCCATCATCCAGTGGAACACTTTTTTTCTTTATGCATATGCATGTTTCTGTGATTACATTGAGATCTGGTTCTTTGCAGTCAGTATTGGAATGACTGATACTGATGGGCCGCAATCTTACTGCTCATACTAATTACTAGATTTTTGTAACTTTTATTCTAAACCTTATGGTAAGATGATCACAGGTAAAGGCTGCAATATTTTTTTGTTAGACTTTGGAATTTGGTGCAATAAATAAAATGGACTTTTAATTTTGCCCTTCTGTGAACATAATTCATTAGCATATATTGATTGTACAAAATACTTGGTTTCATTATGACATTTTCATATATGTATACAATGTACTTTGATCATATTACCCATTGCTCTCTTTTGCCTCCCCTCCTGTCCAGATTGCCTATAGTCTTTTCCTAAATAATTTAAAGGAACTATTATCTGCAATAGAAGAGGAAAAAATCTGGACTTGTCTTGTTTAGTTTGTAGGCATGCTGAATTGTAAAAGATCTTTCTTGTCTGTGATGTCCACTAAAAATGCCTTTGGTCTACTTTAAAAATTTCAGTGGTGACTTTGTCTATCCTGCTATTACTTTTCTTGCAATGGGTTGGATATATTGGAAAGAAAACCCAAGAGTTTTGTATATAGCCAAGCTGGCCATGAATTCACAGAAGTCTTCCAATGTCAGCCTCCTGAGTGCTGTGATTATAGGCATGTACCACCTCACCCAGCTTGGTAGAAATTTAAAGCTTTCTGCTGTCTGCGGTGGCATATTTTGCCACATTTTTACACTATTCAAAGGTTTGCTATGGTTCAGGTCCCATCAAGACATCATGTGGCTCAGCTTAGCTTTCAACTCTTTGTAATCTGGTATCTCAGTATTCATGTTGAAAGCTGGTCTTTATGTTCAGTGACCCTTACTAGCTAGAAAAGTGAGTGTCGAGCCAGCCTCCTGCTCCCAGTCCTAGCAAAGACTTCCAGGGCCCCAGCATGATTGCTCTCTTAAGGCCAACAAGGTCTTAGCACTTCCCTTCCCCCGAGAGCCTAATAAGGACAGGAGCATCATGAAGAAAATGGCATTTGCTAAAGAGCATTGCTGTCCAGCATAGTCAACTAGCTTGGGGGTCTCTACCTATCTGGACTCATGCTTACATATTGTAATATGACCATGTGTTAATTACTGCATTTTCTTTGGTACTGGAATGTTATGATGTTATTGAAATTATAAGGGCATATTGTGTGGACTCACGTAGCATCCTGGGACAATAGGAAGGTTTTCTACTAGATAGACACACCCTCTCCTAGTAGTCATACACTCCTGTTCCAGGGTAGAGAGCCCCCTCCCTTTTCTGGATGCTAAATAAAGGAGTCTCTGTGACTTCACAAATCACAAGAAATGAGGTTTGTGTGTCTTTAAAAGAACATGATTTCTTAAAATCTCAAACAAAAGAATCAAAAAAAAAAACATCACTGTATGTATAGCACAAACAATATACTAGTGCCTTTGTCTTGAAGACTTGTTCTCTGTGGGGCTCCTGCAGCTGATCTAGGTATTTCCACTCTAAGAGAAGGCAAACTAGAGAACTTAAGTCTTTCCCACTAGTACCTGTCTAGAAAGAAAACCTCATCGGCCTGTGGCATAGAGCAATCAGACTGGTGAGACCAAAACCCTTTGTTAGAGGCAGTGGGCCAAGTTGGGTACAGTACACATTTCTAGTATGGAAGCATTCTGTCGTCCTGCCTGTATTTTGGCCAAAATACCTAGATCAGCTGCAGAAGAAGTTTTGTAGCACCACAGAGAACAGGTCTTTAAGACAAAGGCACTAGGAACCTCTGAAATAACTCTGGATGTGGCTCTCAGAACCCCCATCTTCCCAGCAGCCTCCATAACACAGGGCTTGCTTCACTTGCCAGGTGCCAGAGTAATAGCCCAATTCCGAGGGAAGGCTGTCCCAGATCTTCACATGTAGGCATGTTCTGTGAGTCCTGTCAGTTCAGTGGTATCTGCCTGTTTTCTACGAGGAGACGGCATGGAGCAGTTGAGCACTTGCCCCAGACAGTGGGCCAAGAAGGAGCTCTCAGTCAGTTCAGGGCCCCAAGACTCTTCTTCCAGATGTCTGGACATACAACTTATGTTTCTGTCCTGTCTCCCCATTACCTGACTGAGCCTTTAGGACTCTACCCACAGCCCTCCTATACAGCGTCATCAGCTCACAGATCTGGTGGACAGTCAGATCTTTGGAGAATCACACTCTTTATATATCCCTCCTCCTTTCAGATCTCAGGGCCCAGGGGGTTGCCTTCATTTGAGGTGACCAATCTTCCAATCCACTCTCCATATGTTGGCCACAAGGAAAATGACTGGTACTGGCAGTTAGGGTCTGTCCACAACTTTTCCGTCCCTTTGTACCTATAATCTGAAGCGGGCTAAGATGCCATCCCTAGACACAGGGTTCTGCCTCTCCATTAGAATTCTTTTTCTGGAGGGTTGGTGTATGCTGTCAACCTCCAAGGCAATTTGTTCCTGATACTAGCTCCTTCTGCCTGCAGGAATGTGATTTACAATCTGGAGAGGCCATAAAGATCTAACCCTTCCCATCTGAAAAACAGTAAGTATGGGAAAGAATGTAAATTATATATAACAAATTCCTATGGCCAGCAATAATAGGATGCCTGGGATGGATTATTTTTTTAAATAATGGAGGCATATGGCTTTAATTTCTAATGGGCCCGCCATATTTCTACAAAGAACAGATAACAGTACAATGTCCTGCTGAGATATAGTGTTTTTCCAAAATGAAAAATAGCACTTCTTGGATGACTCACTAAATCCTTCAAAGTACCCATTCCACACTGATGGGAATGGAACAGTAGGTGGCAGTAACATACTAATACTTGTAGGATTAGTTGTCTGGTATCCGTCGTTTGTGTGTGTGTGTGTGTGTCCGTGTCTGTCTCTCCCACCACACCCCCACCCAGCTCCCAAATTTCCCAGAAGGTTTGGTTAGAATAGTTTTGTTTTCTTTGTTCTTTTGTCAGTGGAGATTCTGTTCAGGGTTCATACTGCTACTGTAAGCAGGAAAAACAGCCACAAAATTGTCCTGAAGCATGGTGGGTCAGCTCAGGCTTTGTTTTCACAAGCTGGGCAACAGTGGCCCTTGACCAACCAAGAAGGGAGAGAGCCACTTGTTGCTGTGTATATTCCTTCTTTTAGAATCATCAGACCGCAGAAGCTTGTGTGGTGTTGATTTTCCTGGTGTTGAGCATTTTCCCATTCAACCCAGTCTCCTCCCAGTTCAAAGTGGTGGGTGAAAGCTGAAAAAACATGCAGAGCTCAAACTTCCCAGGCTTCTGTCGTAATAGCCTGTCTCTGCCAAAGCACCTATTAAAGTCAACATGAGTCTGTTTTTCTTGGTGTGGTCAGGGACAGTTCTGACACCAGAGCAGTGTGCATAGTGTGTGTGTGTGTGTGTGTGTGTGTGTGTGTGTGTGTGTGTGTTGCTTAAAATCACAAGCATATCCACTCACAGAGTACCCTCACAAACACCCATTCACTCACATACCCCTTTTGCCTTCCTGACATTTCCTGTGAGCCACATTTGGTTCATCAGATGTTAGCCTCAGCTGGAGTGTGAGGTATCCAGACTCACATAAGGCTTGAAGGAGAAGGACCATTGCGGTTTCCCAAAATGTCAGCGTCAGTGTTGACCACTCAAATCACCTCAGCTGAGGATCCCTTACTGAGTACTGTCTCTGCTAGAAATTTATATTTGTGTGCATCTAAAATTTCAACAGGAGGAGGAGATAAGTCTAATAATGGTAACAACAGAGAATGTGTATGTTAGCCTCATATTTGAAAGGGAAATGATAGGCATGGAGATAATAGCTCAGCAGCTAAGAGCACTGGCTACTCTTACAGAGGACCTGCGTTCACTCAGCACCCATATGGTAACTCACAACCATCTGTACCTCCAGTTGCCGGAGATGAGGTGCCTTCTGACTGCTTTAGCTACCAGGAGCACATGTAATATGCAGGAAAACACTCATATACATAAAAATTTTAAAAAATAGCTTTAAAATATAGAGGGAAATGATATGAACAGAGGCCTGGGACTAGGTAGAAAACTGAGTTAGTAGAGTGCTTTATCAGTAAAGTACATGAAGACATAGGTTTGGTAAAAGTCGGGTGTGGTGATGGATTTGATTAGCAAATGTAGGGATGGGAACAGGAGCTCACTCACAAGTCAGTCTGACTGAGTTGGTAAGCAACAGGATCAGTGAGAAACCCTGTCTCAAAAAATAGAGGTGGAAAGTGATGGAGGAATTCACTTGATGTTGCCCTCTGGGCTTCCACTTTCAGGCACACACAGGACTTCTGGGAAAATGACTGCCTTAAAATGTATTGTCATGTGAGTCAACTCACATTGCCCCTGGATTTTCAAATAATGATGCTGTGAACAGCAGAATTGCCTTTTAGGTTTTGTTCAACCACATAAGCATAATTTCTGGTACTCTGCTACACAACTGACTGGCATCATGACACTCACCCAAAATGAATGTTACAGAGTAAGTCCAAGAATGGAAACAAAAACTACAGCATTCACTACTTCTGTTTTCCCATTTCACCTATTTCAGTCCTTGATTTGAGTTTTCTATTAAAAAAAAAAAAGTTTCCAAGTTAGTTGATGTGGGAGTCCCCTCTGTGTGCTGTTATTACCATTAATGAATAAAGAAACTGCCTTGGCCTGGTGATAGGTAGGCAGGGAAGACAGAACTGAATGCTGGGAGAAAGAAGGGCAGAGTCAGGGACGGCATGGATCCGCCATCAGAGATTTGCTGGTAGGCCACGACCTCATGGTGATACACAGATTAATAGAAATGGGTTAAATTAAGATGTAAAAGTTAGCCAATAAGAAGTTAGAGCTAATGGGCCAAGCAGTGATATAATTAATACAATTTCTGTGTGGTTATTTCAGTTCTGGGCAGCCGGGACAAACAAGCGGTTCCCTCCTCCAACAGTTACAGAGATGAAGAAAATTCTTCAGTGTCCAGCTAGCTGGTCAGATTGGGAAAGAAAGGGAATATTTCCATTTCCCAAGCAAATTTTGTTGCATCAATAAGTTGTCAGATTTTACTGTTGAGTTGCTGAAGTGACTAGCAAGTGCTGCTTTTTGCCAAAATAACATTAAAAACTAACACTTTAGGCATGTGACCTGGTTGGTACAACTAGTATGCATGAAGCCTAGGTTCAACCCCCCTGT